CGGCTGAATAAAACTGATCATGAAGTGAACAAGTGAAAATATTCCTTAAAAAATAACATACTGCTAATCTTTTGCACACGTAGCAAACATTTGAATCGCTTGTTGATTCAGCTCAGTGTTAAGTCAAAAATGTACTTTTAGAGCCATGTTTACATTCGAATGCTTTCTGGGCCTATCGACTAGGCTTCGTATCGAAAAAAAGTGTCATCAGGTCAGCAGGTGTGTTGCTGAAAAGTTTTTGTCACTTTCTACCTATGTTTCGAGTGAATCAATCAGTCTTCATCGCGACAAATGAATGGCTTCAAACAAAAATCTTTACCAAAAAGTTTCAGTGAAGTGTATTTTCAAAAAGTATTTCCCCTATGGCTACAACTAAGTCCTACCATCTCCTCAAGAAAGATTTGAGGTGATCTCAAAGATGGTCAAAATTATTAAAGAAAGAAACAACTACTTAAAAATTAAGCATACGTTTAATTTAAAAAGATTTCGTGACTGATCTAAAACGTGATGAATAATGAGTTATAATCTGGAGAAATGGCAATAGAACATACAAAGTTAGTTGTATGATCAATCGAATAAACGAATATGTTTTAGCTATCGAAGACGTTAAGGTGAATCGGAGTGTAACAATTGATGTTAAGGTTTTTTGTTTCATGAAAAATGCTTAATGTTAGGAAGGTGAAAACGACATTATTATTAGTTGAGGGAGGAGGTAAAAGAATGCAATTATTTGCATATAAGTTCATGCGAAGAAAGACTTATAGTTATACGAGACATACCTTAACGCAACACCGCATTCGAAAGCATCGAAAGCACTCGACCTAAACCACTATTCACTACTATGCAGCTGAGTTGAGTTATCAAAGTTTGGTCGTTTCTTTGATTGAAGTGATGAAGACCACTTGGTTAATGTCAATGAGTAATGATGGACAGCTCCAAAAATTTTTGTGGACATTCAAACAAGAAAACGCCCTTAATTTATGCGCTAATTTGTTCGATTTCTTCAACTTTTGCGTTTTGTCACTACGAAAACGACAATCGTAAGGAAGTCACAATCTCCATTATATAAATTTATAAATTACATTTTCAGACTTTTAATTTGTTCACTCTTTCGAAATTTGTCACAAACTATGAATATGCTTGAATGTGATTCACCTAGCACATCAATACGCATTATAATCCTCAACAAAATAAGAAATCAACCAGCAAACAAACCAATGACGTTTGTATTGCTTCATCATTTCACAATCGAACGCTAATATCGTTTCTGTTATTGCTACAAAATCTTTCCCTTCTCAATTTATATGCAATAAAATAGCAACAAAAATGATCACATATTAATCACATGATAAATGCTAGCGTAGCAATGATAATCACATTGAAAACAATAGCAACAAAATATGATGCCCTTTAGTTTTTAGCTACTATTATTGTCGCAGTTACTATCATTATCATCATCTTAAGAACAAGAACAATGAGAAATGTAGTAAGAAAAGTAATAATTTGATAAAATAACAATAATCACTAGGCATCCTCGATTACTACTCTAATACCAAGCAGATAAAAACAATGTTAACATCAACGGATTGTCCAAGCATTCAATGATCGAAATCGCTTAAGGTTAAAGTTGTCACTTATACAGCAATTATATCAATCGATTTTTCGACTCAGGAAACGAATATGAATGAAGAGGGCAAAAAGCATTTTCCAAACGCATATGGCGATGTTCCGTTGATTTATTCTTATACACCGACAATGGAAGGTCCAAATGAAAATGTCGATCTGGTTCCAAAATCTACACAAATAAAAGATTTTGTGTTTAGAGAGGTGAAGCACCATGGATTTGATGTTAAGATTTCACAGCTGAGAAAAAATGCAGTGCAAATTTGAATTTGACCGAACTGAAAGTGTTGAGCTGAACTTTTATTTTCATACCATCTTATATAGTAATGTTTTGGTCGAAAAAATTTATCTTATGCAGTTTCGGTGCCACTTTCTACATGTTGAGATGAGGCTTTTTATCAACATTACGCAAATCTTTTATTTGGAACTCTGGGTGGCACTTTTTGTGGCATCATTGCATTCGTTGCTGACTGGATACAGCTGCCTTGTAAATTAGTGCATTCAGAGTCAAAACGCGGAAACAATTGCGTTTCTGCCAGTACAGTTGGCTACCATCACTGGAAATATGGATAAGATCTAGATTCTCAAAACAAAGCTCAGATGTGAGAAAATTTGTTTGAAAATTTCAAATTAAAGCACCATGGATAGGCTTTTTGCTGTAGAAAAATAATTGTTGTTTGAAAGAATAGAGCGATGAAAGCGACATTTGATGAATGCATAATGCAATTGTTCAAACGATGAAAAATTGCTGCGGTTATGACAAGAAAAAGTATTTATTGTTAGTTTTACTGGATTGTCATTCGAACAAATATCATTTCAACATGAAAGGAAGAAGAACGGATATCAGAGCAAATTCAGTGATCAATCAGTGTTAAATATGTGATATTAACGGTTTTGTGAAAGAGTTTAGGCCGAAAGGCTGGAATATAGTTCTGTTACCAGTCTCAGCTTCAGGCTTATCTGATGACTGTGGAGCCAGGAGAAAAGACTGAAACGGAGGAAATTGCTCTTCTACTGAATGGTTTACAGGTTACCAAGATTCATCTTCGATCATGTTCAAATAAAACTGCAACGACTCCGTTATCGCTGTTTCTTCCGTAGCCAGAGATACGCTCAACGACAATACTGTTCTTCACCGTTGAGACCTGCTGATCGATGCGTTATTTCGAGCGATGAATTGCGTGAAACCAAAAGCTCTATCACAAACGTGCAAAAAAATTGCTCAACTTTTACTAACAAAAGAAGCTGTAGAAATAATGTTTGGGAACGAATCAAAACAGGTCGAGAATTGATAATTACACTGCGTAGCAAACAAAACGCAAAAATAAGAATATAATTATCTGGAACAGTTTTGTGCGTAGAATCTGGAAGCGAACTTCGTTTTTGATTTGTTTGCGCAGTTTTTCTTTAGACATGTAACCGTCGAAGTGCAGAAAATGATCGAAACGCATGAATTCTAGTAAATTAAAGAACTGACCTTTCACTCTCACACAAATCGAGACAAATCCGATTACACGTGCAGAATCTGAATCTGGAATCAGAAGTACCCTATCACGCAACAATTTTCAAGAAAAATGATTAAACGAGCGAGATGACTAGAATGAAGATCATGTAATCAGATAAGTAGTGTAGCAAGTATGAGTGAATTTCATGCGAAGAGAAGCTAAATAGCCATTATTGCTCCCGAAAAGTAAGTCTTTTTTCGCACTGTGTACGCCAACTACAAAACAAGAGCATTAGGCGCATAGATGATTTGCTGGTTAGAGATACCGCTGTGAATTTCACGACACGTTTTCTGAGATGGTGTTCGGGAGGGTTCCTTTCCAGACGCGAATGTTACTGGTTATAAGTGACCTAACAGTCAGCTTACATGAGAATGAAAAGTCAACTTTTCAGTGCACTCGAATTCTTGACCACTTGACGGCTATTTCAAAAAGCTGTACATACACGTCAAAAAAGAACTTTCATACCAGACTCTACGCGCAAGACTCTCCCAGGAATTGATACGGTTTTCTATTTTTTGTCACACATGTTATTGATGATCTGAACATAGGGAAGGCAGAGGAGGAATTGATATTCGAGAAGATTTTTGGAATTATCCCATGAGTGGGTGGTCTGAGGTGCAGATGGATCAGACTATCACCTCTTTTCATGGTCGGCCCATAAACGTAAACTGTAAAAGACTCAAATGGAATGGATCGAAAGAGGATGATGATATAAGAAGAGATAATGAAGTTTGTTGAAGTGATCTTATTTCAGATTTAATGGCATTCATGTTTCGTTCCTACAGTGCTAGTGAAGCGCCAACGGCGAAAAAACTTATGCGAACAAACAGTGAACAAAATGATGAGTAAAAAACGGAGTACTACTTAATTGACAATAGTTTGTATTTGAAACTACAAATACAATTCATTTTGAAACTAAAAAATATTCTATGAAAAGAACCGAAACCTCCGAACGGTTTTATCTTCTTGTCGATTTGGACAAATTTCAAGGCGCTTGAATTCGGCTTAATGTTACTCAACGTGAAATTAGGGTCTTGAATGTCAAGGAATATGTTTGACGCAAATACAGTTGATGTCGAGCATGTTATTTTCTTACGATTCGTTGATTTTTCTGTGATTTTAAAGTTTATTTCCATTAGAATAGTAGTGCAGTAATAAGACGGTTATCGTTTCTTGTTCGGTGAACTTTCTTTAATCTTTTCTTTCGATCAACTTCAGGGTTCCATCCAGCCGTATGACCGAGTCTCAATCGACAACCTCTAGAGGTGCTCGCTCATTGTTTTACTGATCAGATAAAAATTTTTTGAAGTATTCCTTTATCAATGAACTGGTTATTTGGTCTATGCTCGGTGAAATTTTAACTGACAAGGTGAGTCGATTCTTAAGTTACGACTGTTGCTTCTCAACTCACAATAAATTCAGTTCAGTACAGTTATTCGATTACCAGCAAGCAAAACATTTTCACTGAAAACATAACTGCTGTATGCAATAACAAAAGAAAAACGATTCATTTGAGTTTTCAATTAAATGGTACATAAATTGTCAGCACACAATTACATAAATAACGATTGAAAATAACAAAAATGTTTGAAGACAAAAAAACGTCTGTCAACTCCCAAGGAGGTATTGTAAATTTAGCATGAACAATCTGAACAACTGAGTAGATACTAAAGTAATTATCATCATTATTATAATTTTTGTTATCTTTAGTATTGCATTTCTTGAATTGATGGCCTTTATTTTCATAACGTTTCTTTATTTTGAATCAGTTCATTTTGAATTTCACGACTGAAACTTGCAAAGAGCAATATTATGGTGAAAGCTAAATAGCTGTGCGAAAAGATAACAAAAAAAAGGTTCGATAGGTGAGTGCTATTCGCAAACATGACGATCAGCACGGCAGTCGGCTCCTTGACTTGCCATAAATAGACGTCCATTTTGACAAATGCACAACTGGTATTGTGAATGACCTCTACCTTCACTTTTCAATAAACCCGAAATAAACACGTTCCCTGATTCCAGGCGGATTTCACCCTAAAACATTTACGATGCATCATTCAAAATTTTTAAATTGAACGAATGAATACGATTCAAAGATGCACATATTTTTAAAACATATGACGAGCTTGTTAAGCGTAAAATCAAACTGCATATTGCCTTGTGCAGTTTTATAGGATGTGTTCATGCATAAATACTTTTATTAGGGCATAAATAATAAGTTTTTTAAGCAACTTCATTAAAAAATATAAACGATGCCAAACGAGTGCATTATCACTCATGGGCAGATTACCCACAAACAATTTCATATAATACTGTTCATGAGTTTCGAAAAAAAAACGCATTGAATCTGAAAACAAGATTGTTTCCATCCAACAAACTTAAAACGTTGAAAATAATTGCGAACTGCATCGCGCAAAGAGCACTGTTCACCTGCTTCGAGTTGAGGTTAATGTCAAGCAAAGAAGACATTTGTATTTCACCAGCAGCACTCATTATTTCGATATCTTGACTAGCATCCAAATTTAGATTTCGAGTCGGCGATTCCAAACTGAAAATTTGTGAGTAATTTTCATATTGGAAACAAGTGGAAGAGCAATGATTTGAAAAAATCATTTGGTAGAAATGAATTATTGTTTTGCACAATTTGATGGTATTCAATTGCGTAGGCTAACTAATTCAATTGCGTAGGCTAACTAATTCAATTGCGTAGGCTAACTAAATTTTTAACTATTCAGCTCAAAAACTGCAAAATGTTGATATTTCCAAGACGCATGGTGCTCATGTTGCTAGGAAAGTGGCGTTGGAAATGAGGATTATAACAAGTGGAGGAAGGGCTGTTCGTTTTTGTTCGATCCTTTCGATGGGAGACATATTGTCAAACTTCAAGTGATATGAGGTTTGCATAAGAGAGGGCAATTAACGGAGGTATAATGATACACAGATGTGATTTGCAACACGAACCTGAGTGGTGTGTCAGGTTCAGGTCTAATAAATGCCGTTTGAATGGCACCTTCGAATACGCTTCCGCCATCATCTGGAGATCATTGCATATTCAACAACAGGCGAAAAAAAACCAATTACACAATTACAGTTGGTTTAGAAAAACCAATTACAGTTGGTTAACCCATAATAAAACTGGAAGCATAACTCAATACCGATACTTGAATCAGAAAGAAAGCAGCTCTAATAAACAAAACACAGCAATTATCAGCTTTTTCGCAGCAAGTTGATGAGAATGTAACTGCTTTTGAGATTTAACGCTTAACGCTTGAGAATTTAAAGACTACATTTTTGGGATATAATTATGAAAGAGAGAAACGAATTTTTCTTTCCCAAACTTTTCCGAGTTAGCATACGTAAAATGGCAAAGAAATGTCAAAGTAGAACTGAAAAATTGAAATTAAACCATCAACATACCGAGTATCCGCAAGTTTTCGAGCTTAAGACCAACTTCGTTAGAGTCAGCGAAAAACAACAATTTTCGTGCATTATCAAAGATTTCAAATCGATCACATACGGCCTCAGTTCGTCCATCTTGGAACATATTAAGCATGGCTGTTTGGTGACCACTCATATTGCGTGCCTTTATAAAGACACCACGTGATGAGTCTATCGTAAGAGCCTCCCCCTGAAAAGTTTCATCGATTTTGCTGGTGCTTTGAAACGTTTGAATAAATTCAAAGTATCGCCGTTTACTGTTGAACGAGAAGGAAGCGAGTTCTTTTAATTGTCTACTTAAAAAAATTCAAATTAGATAAATCGATCTTCGGACACTTTCCAGGCATTTATATTAGGTCGACGCAGTGAACACAGTCATCGCTGATTATACGCGCATCAGCAGAACATTATTTATGTTGGTCCAGGGACAGTTCAGGCAAAATTTCAACTGAAAATATAGCACGCGAAGCTGACACATTGGTTTCAGGCTTTCCGAAATGACAATAAATTGAGCGTTCAATTTTTTGTCCTTTAATCATCAATTTTTAATGCATTAGGCAGAAAATGGTTCCATTCATCATCAGAAAGCGCTCTGTGAAATTTTGCCTAAATGAACACATTTTGAATTGCACAAGCTGTTCGAACTTTTCAGTACAGCAGTAAGTGCTTCATTTCGCTGAGCGTTCTTTGCCGTTTTCAGTCGTTCACTGTAGCAAACAACAATTATCAATTGACTTCAAAAATTCACTAGAAAACCCTCATTAACAGTCATTGGGATAGATGCACGCAAAACTTCGTAATACTTAATCCAAACCTAGATGAGTCAACTAAAAGTTTCACTGTCAAGTTTCTATCGTTTTATCGTTTCGTTTTCTATTCGCATAAATCAGTTTCATGCTATTCGTATACTTCCAAGCATTCTCGAACAAACAATGATACTTTTACATCGTTCATTGGCTGACTAATTCGCTGAATCCGATTATGATTATTAGGTAAAGTGATATGTTCTATAGCGCAGGGTTTTCCAACCACGGATGCATGCATCTCCTGGGAATGCATGACGAGAGGTGCGACACAAAGTGGGATGAGAGCGGGTGCGAGGGCATCTTAAAATTTTCTAGAGGGTGCACGGGGCGAATGAGATTGAGAACCACTGCTATAATGGTATGATATGACCTCTTGCCACAACAGAATATATTACTTTTTTAAAGCGGTAGCTATCCAGGCATGACCTCGTAGGGAACTCCCATTTACAAAAAAAAAACAACATGCTATTAGCTGCATCTCTTATAGTTAGGTGATACGGAACTGAGCTTTTTTCAGTCATTGATAGTAGGCGCTATTTATAAAACAATTCCAAAGTTCGAGAGCTGGGTGCGAACTCCATATGCAACAGTTCAGGCTGAAATTTTGCAGGGAATGCTTATTTTCAACACAAACGAATTACCGAATGCATCAAAAATCGAAAACTCAAACAACACGAAGAAACGCCGAGTGACAAGTACTGCTTACTCCTATACCGAAAAGTTCGAGCAGCTCGCACAGACAACGATGTGGTCCAGTTGTCGCAGAATGTTCTTCTGTGATACTGAGGATGGTTTTTACCAAGTGCTTCAAAAATCGGACAAAACCAATAGAAAAATTGAGCGTCAATTAGAAACGCCCAATCTATTGCCATAACTAAGAAGTTCGAAGCTAATGCGCCAGCTTCGCGTGCGATATTATTGGTTGAAATTATGTTTGGAATATTTCTGGACGAACATGAATTAGATTCTACCGATGCATTGGAGAGGAAAAATATTTTGCAACATTTTTGCATCACCCTAATGAGAATGGCTAAAAAAAGTGAATTGTTTTCTGCAGGAGTGATCGCATTGATCAACTTTGAATTAAATGCCATCATAATCTGAAACCTTTCCGAACGAGATTCAATATCACAGCGAAAGAAGTCGATAACAAGATACTAACCTCGGCAGTTGACAACTCCGTAAAATGAACAGGTCGATCGAATTGAGCTTCTCCACTCACACGTATCCGGTCATCTTCTATTTTCAATGCTCCCATGCCTTCCTGAATTCTCATTTGCTTTCCAAAATTTGAAGAAATATTTTGCTTTTCGGAATGAATATTTTTAGTCTTTTTATGGCTATTTTTATTGGGCAACTGATTAAAGAATATGCAACCATCGATAATGTTTCCATCTGCATGGTAGAAATGGGAATCAAAAAAGTCTTTAAGATGTTCCTGTAGCTTTTCGTTTTTATATCTTAAACTCATCAACATGTATCTTCGAACGATGACTTTCATCACAATCTAAATTGGAACTAGCAATATGTTATTCTTCAAATGAATACTTTACCAACCGATGAAAGATCCAATATGGTCATAATCCAAACGGTAAGTGCTAAATTTAATACAACAACCACGGTAAGTACACATATGAAACAATACAAGCATCGTTTTCGCCAGCCGTATATACCAACTCTGCAATATATTTTTGAATGCGAATGGTGAATGAATCATATTCACGATGAATGTTGTAGGCAAGATGTGTTAATAATGCATTTACAACCAACCGGTAAATATCAGATTCAGTCGGAGGTTTCGCTGATGAATGTACCAATGTAGTATGTTGAGGAGGTGGATAAGGAGGCATCATACTACCCGACTGCAGAGGAACAGTAGGACGATGAACTTCATAGCTTCCTCGTCCCCAAACAGGTTCATCCAGCGACCGCTCAAAAGGTGGATACCGATCCATAACTGAATTCATAGAGAACATTCGATGAATAGCGATTTAACGAATACGCAATTTGACGAATCGACAATGAAAGCGAACATTGAATTCCCTTAAACTAAAGTAGAATTCCGCATAGAACTTAATTAGAACTAATAAACATGAATCGAAACGAAACGGAGCACTTTTGTAAGTGTTTCACCAGGTCTTCCTCTGTCTCGGTTCGGCGAGATGCACCAAAAATTATTGGTAAACTAAAATTATTAAACTCAATTACAGCAACAGTTCACAACCATCGCTATATCTGTAATTTTCACACAATAGAGATAGGCGTGCAACTTATAAATTTATTATAAATCAAGGATACAAATATCGACGCATCGTGTAAATCACATACTTACGTAGAAGCCAAGTGTCCTCTCCGAAATATTTTCTTACCTAGAATGCAAACGTTCAACAGATATCGAAAACTACAGAATAGCATGGATTATGTGTCCGAATCTGAAGCAGTCTCAGTGTGAGTCTTTTCCTTGCACACAATTCAACGTAGATATGTTCTTTAGACACTCGGTTTCCCGTCACAATGCGTTTCAGTTTCAGATTATTTCAGTGAAGTTTTTCAGAATGTATTCGATTCATTAAGAATTTTGCGGTTAACAATTCAAATAACATGGAACGACTTAAAAACAACAGCAAATTCTTTTTTGAGACATTAAATAAACTAGCATTTCATATACTTTGACTACTACAATTCAGATCAATGTGCGATGATGAATTTTAGTGAAGATTTGCGCACTATCAAAAGAGTATGTAATTAAGAATTAAGCTGAATATATGAGCTGAATTATAATCAGAGAGAATAGTTGGTAGGAAATAGCAAAGTTGTGAGTGGAATTTTGGCGTTGAATAACATCTTCCCAAAAGTATTGTGGATTTATGTGATGCGATACGGAATGAGGAACGAATTGATTTTTATAAAAGAATGAGCTGGTTGGGTTGGTATTGTTTCAGATGTAATAAAGTGAATAGTGAGTTGGGTCGGTTCAAGATTAATTATGAAGGAAGTTGAAAGGAGGTTGAGGTTTAGATGAGATATGAATTTGTTGGTTTGCGTGATGATGACGAACGTGCACTGTGGATCTGAGATGAGGTAGTCGTTTGAAAAAGGTCCATCCAATGAAACTTTTCGGATAGTAAGCAAGTGACTAGTGACTTATTCTAACAGTTGCTAGCGATATTCGATGTTAAATCAATCGTATAGATGCGATCGATGCGTTATGTATCATTAATCGCGATCTAACGGATACGTTTAAACACATAAAGTTGTTTCGTTTATTGCAACGTTTATCACTTGTATTGCTTATTGATTTCATATACATACACAAAGGATGCATAATTTGAGGAGTCTGTTTAAAAAACTCATTCTATTTTCATCATTTCCATAAACATACAAGAGATCTTTAGTTTTTAAATCAACGTATTCGGTAAGTTAGTGCAGACATTTCTCATCGGTAACATATTTGCAATGAGGAATGAGGTCTCCGGTCATTCCCTGCGAAATCCGGGATCGGGGCCCCATTTTACAGGGTCCCTCACCACCTCAGCCTCAATCCTGTTTTCAGAGTTCTTTCGTCCTATTCCTCCACCAAATATTGATCAATAGCGTGAAAAAGGTCATAAAGTGCTGCTAGCTTCACTTCTCTGACTGTTCTGAATTTGATTGCAAGTTGAGTTGCACTGGCAAAGTGAGAAATTATGTGTCAAAGCAAGTTTGTTCACCATTTATTCACATATGTTCTAGTGCAGTGGTTTTTTTTGCCCGTGGACCCCCTAGAAAATTTCGAGATGCCCTCGGACCCCCTACAAATTTTAAGAAGCCCCCGAACCCCTTACATCATACTTTCGTGAGAACCTGAAGCAGAACGAAACAAAGATATTTCAAGAAATGAAGATGGGCAGTAGACGGCCGAGTTCACAACCCGAAGTGCCTTGCCTACTTTAATGGATAAAAAATGAAAACTCATCTTGAACCCCCCCCCCCCCGCACCTCTTATTGCACCTACTCTCCAACTCCCTCTCACCCCATTCTCTCTCGGACCCCCTGCATGCCGTCTCCGATCCCCGGCTGGGTAACCCTGTTCTAGTGTATCGGTTCCACATAGAACCTGCTCATCTTTCGCGTGAAAGGGAGACAACATTTTCTTTTTTGCACCTCACGCTGGATCAAATGTAATTTAACAAGCGGTTTTCGTTTTTCTGTCGTTCATGTGCTCTTGCTCAATGCGGTAGCGTTTCCTTTCTCATCCCATCTCAGATCATGTTTATCAGACCGTCAAAACTGACAGCGAAACATTTAGCAAACAGAAGCTCGGAAGTGAAAAAAAAACAGTTGGAAAAATATCATCCAAAACGGGACGCCCATATTTTTAAAGATGTCGACGACCGCAAAAGAAAGTTATAAGCGTGTGGATAGCATGATCGCGAAATTCATAGTGATCCAAAATAGTGTGGTGCGGGTATCGGAGTCCCCGTTCCCGAATCTCCGTCCCCGACCTTTTTCGAGCCGCGGACATTTTCAGGATCGTCCTCGAAAAATTTCGTCCCCGATTTTCCCCGTCCGCGACTTTTCCAGAACTGTCGGCGTTCCTCGAAATTTCGGAGAATTCCCCGATCTTCTCCGACAGGTAAATTTTTGTTGGTGTATGGTGAAATTGGGGGTTGTGTGTCGCTGTGATGAATCATAAAAATTGGAATAAGATGCAGAAGTCTAACATCTAATGAAGGAAGCGATGATGAAAGAAGTGTACGTGGGATAGCGCTGTGACATTCGATTCAAAATGATATTACTTATTAACAGATATCACACGAAGAAATCTTTCGCAATGCACACATGCGAATGAGTAGGAGAAAGGGAGCTTTATCCTATCAAGAGCTTTCTTTGTCTCTTAATGAATGTAAACATGCAAAAACCGTCGATCGTTTCTGTATTAATCGTAACCGACGACATCCGATAATGTTCATTTAACATCCGATAATGGACATTTTATTTTGAATTTTGTCATCTTCGCTTGGTTATTTTTTCATTCCTGAACTTTGTTTTTATCAACTAATTGATGTTGTTTATCATTGTTTTTGATGTTGATGTTGAAATGGCCAAAATGTTATCACCGTGTTTGATATTGACGATGTTGAATTTATTATTGTTATTTTCCTGGATCATATTTTTTGTTGAATGGTGCAATAAAAATTTTCAACCTTCAATGGCGTAGTAAAGTTTTTTTCCCATTTAAATAATTGGTGCAGTCGCAAATTTTGAGCGAAGATTCTGGACTAGCGAGTAGCGATAGCGAATAGTGGACTAATTTCGTTTACTAAGCGGTTTAACGATAGCGTTTCGCTACTGATTAGCGGACCAAACATTTTCTTTGTTAGTGGATCAACGATAGCGAGGCTATTGGTTCTCAGTAGCGTGCCCATCACTGGTTGTCATGAATTTTAAGTGTGAATAAAGCCATTCTTAAATAGACGAGTTATCGTTCACGCATTATACGCTCGAAATATCGCGTTTAATTGTTCTTCCTCAATGACTATTTCAAAAGTGCCACACACGTCCAATTTTTTTCGTTTTCATTTTCCAGCTACAATACAAGTTTAAGTCAAGATAGCTCTAGTAACCTAAGTATGACGCAAATTACATACAGTGCGAACTTATGAAACGTGCAATTTTGATGTGCATTTTTGAGCTCATAATCTGTATCTCAATCAGCGCATATTAATCTGAACTTGTCAACTGGTTGTATGAAATGGTCATAAATAAGGATAACAAAATGCACATAAGTGAAACCTCACAAGCTGCATTGATTGTGCCGTTTATTTGGGTGGTTTATAGTGAAAGTCGGGATTCCACTCAAGGCGGTAAATTTCATGGGGTCGCGAAATGGCGCTTTTTGATGCCATCGTTTTTGTCCTTCAGTCTCTTGGCATTGGTACATTTTAGCGACAACATTCATTATGCGTAGATGTGATTGTTAGTGTAATTCAAACTTGCAAACTTGTTGGGTGTTTGCGTGGGAGATTAATAATGATGGGCGTTGTGCTGACTTGGAATCTTCAGACGAATTTATAACTTCATGATGTTTTGCATTTGAGGATCGACAGTAGTGAAAGGACGATAATTCACTGCACTGATTCAACTTGTCAGCGTGTTCACATCGCTTATGTGCGGGATGCGATCAAACGACGTAAGTCAAGGCAATTTTGCACCTGTAGCGATATAGTCAAGAGGGGAGAAACGTATGTGCGAGGTGTCGAAGTCCCCAGCTGCAAAGTACTTATGTAATCTACCGTTGTGCAAGTAACCGAAGTACTTTTTCGATTTTTGCAGAACCAATTTTCCAATAAACTTTCACGCTGAATTTCAAGAGATATCTATGTATTCACAGACTTAAGCTTGCTCCAAAAATGAAGTCTGTCGATAGGGAATGAAACATTTGAGAAGGGAAGTCTCTAAGACGAAGTAGTTCAGAACAAGTTGAGTGCAATACGGGTAGTGATTTCTACTTCTACTAAAGGAGCGAAGTATTTATTTTTGTGCGTAGCATTCTTTGATTTTCTTTAATACTTTTTCATTGCAGATGAAATAAAGTATCACTTTGTAGTTTATATTTCGGAATAATTGGCATCATTCGTTCCAAAACGTCCATTAACTGCGATTATTAAGGCAGGCTTTGCAGATTGATCAGTAGAGAGAAAAATTAGGCTGGAAGAAATGACCTGTAAAATAGACGTAATATACATGAAGTGATAAATTCACTGAAAGCCCATTCATATTATATTTGACGAAAGTTATATCACGTAGTCTGTATTCACTTCGAAATAAAACGTGATAATCAGGTCTACAGCTAGCAACAGCGTGTCTTTCATAACTTTGCAAGGGGTCACCTTCACGCTATCAACACGCTCAAAAAGCACTAAAAATGTTGCAGTATTCCATGATTTGTCTTGACCTCGACTGTTGAAAACGTATATCCGTTTTTGAGTAGACATTAGCCATTACAAAGTAAAAACTTCTAACAAACGAATCAAAATAGTCCAGGTTTTTGCCCATTCTTTTAGATGATATTGATGTCTGGTTTTGGGTTAATCCATAATTTGCAAATCATCTGGATATTATATATACATTGTAACCCGTATGTGTAACCGTGAAAACGCGATATCCAAACTCTGTTGGTATTTTAGCCTTATCCGTTCGAATTAGGCTCGAGTTTAGGTTCAGCCTTACTTACTATAAGGTTTAGGTTCAGGTCTAAGTGAGGCTCTAATACATCCATGCGTACACTCGTACGAGATTCACAGGCTGTCCAGAGGTGTAGAAATTCAACTTTTCGAAGGGAAGGAAAACTTTTGAACATGGATCCTGCCTTGATAATAGATTTAGACAACGTTTCAGTAAATGAGGAAGTAGCCAACACAACTTAGCAAGAGGGGAGAGGAGGGGAAGAAGTTTGAAACGAAACAGAAATGATGTGCGTTTAGAGGAAGAAGAGGATTTGACTCAAGAGTGAATGATATTTTTGTGCTGTGAGTGACATGATTCAAGCAAAATATTGCGCGTCTAATAACGAAAATGACAAATGCGACTGTTTGCCGAAGTATTGTGAGTTGTGCCAACTAATTGTGGAAATGAGTATGCACATATGTTGATTTTGGACACGTTTTAATTTCGCTTTCTTAATTCTACTCCACTTATCATTTCCAACTTGTGCATACGAATGCGCATTTTCATTCAACAAGCGCTCATTTTTATAGTGAAACTCGTTCTCAACATATAGTAAACGTTATCGATCGTATTGTTGTTTACGCGTTTGTTTGCCTCATTGTTCATAATTTCAATCGTATTTCTTGTTCTCAACCTTATTCGTTGAATCGCGTCATTAATTCATTCGCAACATTTTTTGGTGGTCTTGATCGATTGCGATATAAATTTGATGATTATTCATTTGCTTGACGTGTTAATGCTCTTTCTCATTCTCATTGATGGTCTTCAAAACAGTTCATGTGTTTCTAAGTAAAGCATCGCATAGATACGTCATGACACGCCATTATAAAGCATAACATTTGTTTTTTGCACCTTGAATGAACTGGAAGTGAACAATTCACATCTGTTCATACCAGTGAGTACCGTTTCTAATTCTACTCTATCATTATTACGATCGGTTACTTCATCGTTGTATTTCATCACATCTCGGCCGTAAGGTTATCTGATGCGCTATTGGAAATTTCTTTTTGGAAATGAGTAACCGAAATGTTTCTATTGAAAAACGAAATGTTGTTCAATTTTTGCTTCACGAAACCATCACCACTGTTGTGGAATTTTTTCACATTCTTTTCGAAGCAGTTGGAAACTATTTCACAATGAGAATGGGCACAGACATTTTTCGTGAACTTTCCTGCGACTGAGAAAGTACATCATACGGAAATTGGATTTATCATTATCTACAGATAAAATAAATCAAATGAGACTGCCTCATTTGGACGCGCATGTAGACTGAAATCAAGTTCTCACGTCCTGTCGTCATGGACAGTTTTTTTTTGAATTTTTGCATAGTATTTGTTTCCCTTAATCGTTTATGCAATAAGGCCACGTGTCCCATACACAGTCATAAGATGAAAAGGTGTGTGTGTGTGTGTGTAAAGCTGTTTATAATATCATGTTACAAGATTGCCACAGCTTGTTAACCATGAATCATTGCACATTTGCTCGAATCGTATTGGTTCACACGTTGAAAGATGTAATGAACCGTTGATTGTTTTAGCAATCGGGCAATTTGCGACATCCACTCTTGACTGCTAGCATCAGTTAATGAGCAAATCAACTAGTCACTCAGATGATTTGGGCACGATTTCACATTGCTGATATGTTATATAATAATCTGCTGTAATTTCTTAAACATTGAATTTGAGACATCACTGACGTTTGCTCGTGCAAAAGTCTTGATTTTTTACGGAGACGTTGTAACCCTTGACTCTGCCTTCCGTATTTAAAACTCACCACGCCTAAATTAGTACTCTTTTGCTTCAGTGTAAATCACGTAAAATTGAAAGCTCTGTGAACTGATTTTTTGACCGTAATCACATTAGGACAACCTTAATTAATATTAATAATCAGTTGAAATATGTAGGTAGAATTCATATCGACTCATCGTATATGTGTTCATTTTAAGCAAGAGTTCCCCGAATGAAGTTTCAGTTGTTCGAAAATTACTGTCATTTTTCTGAATTGTCGATGATGTCTAGCAAGCTCACGATCTTCACAGACATAATAACTACTGTAATGACTGTGTAATAATAATTGAGAGGGTGATGTTGCGCTCAGAGTGTGCGCAATGAAAAGTGCATCGTTCGTAAAAGAATTTGAGAGAAACTGTTTGTTACAGATTTATTTACAATGATTCGAAAAAACAACAACCAGTAACGATAGGGTTGCATTCAAACGAGCAGCAGTAACACTTGCATCAGTCATTTACAGAATCGTTTCACATCTTCATTCTCGTTTTCTTTGCTGAACTGATTATCATTCGATTTTATCATAAACTATCACTCATTCGTTCATTGTATCGCGCAGTTTATCATGTCTAATTCGATTATTTTATTGAAGTAAAATAACAAATGTGCATTTTATAATGCAACAACTAACCCTTCGATATATTGTTCTACGTACGATGCTGCATTGGATTTTCATTTTCATACCGGTTCATTGACAGGAATATTTATAGGCGAAAAGAATGAATTTATTTGGGTTGATCGCCTTCGTATCGATTTTCCTCCTGATCGAAAATCGAGTAGTACAGGCACAGGTTACTAAGAATATGTCATCTTTATTAGTAATTGCTAGTACGAAAATATTCTATTTTCCACTTCATTTAAATTTGATATATTTGGATGAGATCATATACACATTCATTTAAGAAAGGAATTATCACTGCAGAATTATCGGATTGTCGTTTCTTTGTTAAAACGAATGTATTATTCGATTCGGTGACGATTCGTGATTGAAATTTTATCACTTCTTTAGTTATCAGTCCACTAAAATATCTATGCATTAAAATTGGATTTACACATGTTGTTAGTATTCCCCGATATGTTGTTTAGTATAGTGAAGACAATTTTCAGGACGAAGGAAATCAAGTTCAACCTCCTCAAGAACCAGCTGCTGCAGCAGCATCACAAAACAATCAAGGTAAATTATTGTATCATTCACTGTCATGTCATCACTTTTGCTTGTTGATTGCTCATCAGAATAAGACGCGAAAGCAATTTGATGTTATATTTGCGCACATATGAGTCAGTGATGAACGTCATAAGTGACTGTCACTAAAAATGTACGAAAGAGTATTTTTCAGTGAAAAGAGTTATTGATAATACGAATACATTTTTGATTCATAAGAAGGAATCATTTGAGTTCGATGGACACATTGTCAGTGCATGAAATTTCTTGAATAATTCATTAACAGGACCAAATCAACGGACACTATTACAAGATAATAAAGTTGTCGAACCGGATGCACATCAAGTACCCGGAAAGTAAGCTGATTATTCTGTAGTGTTTAGTCAGTTGGAATTCATTCAAATTGAATGACATGCAATGACAATTTCTTTGGCTACATGTGAGAATGATTCTTCGTATAATTGTTTAAAGTGAAACTGGATGTGTAATATTGAATACTTTTGGTATTATGAAGAAAGTATTTTTTGATTGAATAAGTGCATGAATAAAGTGGCGTATAATGGGTGTTATTCCAGTAGAAATGCAGAAAAGTTAAACGAAGGGGCAGAAGCAGCTGCAAATGGCAGGAAGCATCTGATCGAATATGACGAGTGTAAAGGGGATATTCATAAATATTGTCGAAAAGATGGAGTGGATTTGAGAAGTGATATGGGAGTTCTGGAGTGCCTTCAAGATGCCGGATTCAGTGAGTCAGTATCGCTGAGTGAACCTTGTGAGCATCTTGTCTGGCAGTTTAAGGTGAATTCTACTTTGGAATTGAAATGGTTCAGTTGTTCCATTCAGTTTGAAATAAATTTTGAGTAATTCAGGTGGATCTAACACAAGATGATCAATTTCGAGCTGCAGCGCAACGGTTCTGCCAGGAGCAATTGGCGGGCAACAGACAAATGGCATTATGTTTGGATGATAAAAGGCCTGGCTATGCGCTATCGTGTCTGTTGGATTTCATTCATAATTTGTCGCAATCTACGCCATGTTTCCATTTTCTTGGTCGGTCTTTTTTTTCGTTCCGGTATAGCAGTTTGTTCATTCTCTTCCATGATCGAATTCTATAATTTCTAAGCCTTTCGCTGCAGTTCATATATTACGCGTGATGGGTAAGGGATTGACGCTTCAAAATAGCGATTATCTGAATTGTTCCTGTAAAGTAAACGTTGATCTTTTTTTTTTCAAAAAGTTTTTGTTTGTCATTAATTGGAAGCTTGATTCGTGTTTCAAGTATTAGGCACTCGTCGTTTTATTTCTTTTTCATTTTAGTGGTTAAGAATATTTTTGAATTGCTTATACTTCTTACATTCAATCACTCTCTTTTCTAGTCTTCTTTTTAAATGCAACGTTGAAGCAAATCCAATTTGTAGAGCGTTCTGAACGATTGGCGTTTTCGGATTTTCGAGTTGTTGGGCCGTTTGTAGCGAAGTGTGGTGAAGCGATAAAGCGTTTACAATGTGGTTCTTTAACACCTCCATCTGCACATCAGAAAGTCCGTGTGCCTCATTCCCAAGGTACAGTTTTGATATAATTAGAGGATTGTTTTTTTTACTATAATGGGAGGGGTGTTTCAAAATTTTTATTTTATTATTTGTCGAGTGGTTTCTGCATTGTAGTTTTGTTAATTCACTACATATGTGAATAAATCACATTAGTTATGCAATCTAAACGTATTCATTTACATACACCAAATGATGTAATATTTTTGATCGAGACTACCATGTTCAATACAACGTTTGTGTTGTTGATGATCAGATAATCCTTTCCCGTTTGAGACACGTGCACATGCCATGAGCTTATACATGTTTACGTTTGTGGAATGATAAAATGACTACGAAAAGGCTATCACATTGTCAAATATAGTGATAGGAAACAATTGTTTTGTATTTAACAGCTGAATTTGTATTCAGTGGCTTCGAAAAGAGGATGTATAATGGGTCAGGGGAAGTCTGAGCGGAAAGTTACTCATTTTATTCGATTAGCAAAAATCATTCGAAAAGCTTTTATTATTTGGGACACGTGGCATATTTCTGAATTGAACAATAGTTGAATACACCAAAAAGATTCCTCAATTCTTTCAAAGCTGCCTCATTCACGTGCACATCATAGTATTTGTTAATTTCGACTTGGAATGTGGAATACAGTGATGAATTGATCTCAGTAAGGAGGTATTAGAAACTGAGTTATTCAGCCGACGTTTCAACGCTTAACACCAGTTTCAAGCAGCTATCAAAAATCACCCCCCCCCCCCCAATTGCAAATTTTTACACATTCAGAAACTCTCTCAAGCAAAAATGCGCCTTTGCTATTACCACCACCTAATTAACAGTAACCCAACTCTGTGTCGTTGAAATGTGGATAATATTCTTATTTCTGATAACAGTGAGTGGGATCTGAATGATTGCTTGAGGTTATGTTTTAAGGTGCAACATTGGAATGCCTCATTGACAAAATAGTTAAAGCATCTCAAAGCGATCCCAATGCAATGCAGATGATCGATGACCAATGCAAACATGAAGTTATGCGAATTGCTGAACTGCAGTCGGATGATTTTCATTTAGATCGACAGCTTTATTTTGCTTGCCGTGAGGACAGAGAAGTCCGTTTGATTTTCATTCGTTATTTCTCTGTTAAAATTGTCAACCAGGAGTGCATTTTGATAACGAATTTGCGCATTACGTCTTCATAATTGTGCAATCTTTTCAGCGCTTCTGTGCGGATGTACAGTCCGGAAACGGTAAAGTGCTGGAATGTCTTATGAAACATCGCACTGATCAGTTTATGGAACCAGGCGTAAGCAGTTCTTTGCAATGCATTATCGATCCATTCATTCAAACAGTTTCCGTATATGTTCTGTAGTTCTAAGCAATATGCCATATTTCAGTGTGCACAAATCTTAGGCGAACGGGCAGTACTGATGGGACAAAATTTCCGTTTATCTCATCCACTTGTTGATGGATGCGAGCATGAATTAAAAGAATACAAATGTTCTCCTCAAACACAATTCGCCTCGTCACCCAACTTTCATCTAAGTTGGGTTCTGTTGTGCCTCGAGAACGCTGCTCATTCGAAAGATGCTAAATTCTCAGAACAATGCCGACACGAAATGATAGAACATAGGCGTATGATGATGAGTGAATTCAGGATGAGCCCTGAAATAGTACTTACATGTGGTCAGGTATCATCCATTTTTTATTCTTCTTTGTTGTTTTTGCAGACATTCTGATTGTGTTTCGAGCATATTATATCTACTTTTATTGTTGGTATGCTTTTCGCAAATCTCATTCAAGGATATCGATCGGTACTGCAGTCCAAAAGGTGACATCGAGGGCGAAGGCAAAACTTTGCACTGTCTGATGGGTCATGCACAACAACGTTCTGATGCACAGAAATTGACACCACAATGCTTGCAAGCAATTTCTACTGTCGTTAAGGTGAATTTTCACTCGTTTTCTTCAGGGCGATTTTTAGACGTTTTGACAGTGTTTACGATTTTAGTTCTCGTCTCATGAGATTAACATTAATATTAATCTCATTAGTTGGGACTTGTGAGTTTAAGCTTATTTTCAATGAATTCTTCCACATTTTATTTCATCGGTAGCAGCCTTCGAAACATTCGGATATTTCCTTGACTAACTTTTCGTTGTTTTCAGTTGGCAGACATAGGATCGAACTATAAAGTTGATCGCGTTCTGTACGCTTCATGCAGAAAATTGATCGATGGTGAATGTTATTGCTTTAGTTTTCTGTTCAGTTTATTTAATTAATATCACATTTAACGAAATAACATTAAGGACCATGTGCAATGGACGCCCAATCGGAGGCGAGTACGTTGACGTGTTTGATGCGTCATATGGATGTTGACATGCCAAAAGAATGTGAACAGCGTCTCCTTGAAATTCAGTATTTCATGGCTAGAGATTGGACCTTAGACCCTGAACTTTATCAAGCATGCCATGAAGATGCAGTTCAAAAGTACTCAGCAGTTGATCTTGTCTCATCTTGATCTTTTTTCTTTTCTTCAATTCCATTGAATAAGTGCACGTTGTGTAATTTAAGTCGAATCTACCCGATTATGTGTTTAAAAGAATTTGTAAGAGTCATCACAATGACAGGAAAAATTTTATTGAGAATTCGTGTTAATTTATTGCGTCATATTCAGTATGTGTTATAAAATGGGAGAGCCACAATCCTTTATCATTGCATAAGTGAAACGCCATTGAAAGATTCTGTTCTAAATCGAATAATCATGTCCTAGTATATGAATATCAAAATGATAATTTTTATTTGCGAATTCATTCCTCAAATGATATTGATCCACAGTTAACGTTTTATCCAAATACATTTAGTTATGTTGTAATGAAATTCTGTTTCAGATGTGGAGCCAATGATGAGTGGCATTTGCAAGGCACTGGTGTCAACAAACCTGATCCTGGTCCTGTTGTATTGGCATGTTTATATCGTTCTGCTTATGATGATCAAAACCCTGTTAGTTCCAGTTGTCTTTTTTTATAAATCTTATTCTGGTTCATTGTTTTTAGTTATCATCAGTGCAACAATTGCGAAGAATATTTTAGGAATTTTTCATTGTGGAATTCTCATTTATGTGTTATTATCGTCGAGTATTTTGTTAGTTCATTTGGTTTTGTTTAGGTTTTCCTAATCAGGATGCGCACCACAGAAAAGCTTCCGCGATAACTGTAGGATTAGTGTGATATATTGAAGATATCTTAAAAAAGAGCATTAATAGCCTTGAAGGATTGTAAAGTAGTGCTGGTTGTTCCAATTAAAAATGAAACTTCAGCTGAAACCTGAATGTGCATCAAATGTACGTCGAGTGTTGAGAACACGTGCTTTACGTGTCAATTTAATTCCGGACATAGAAGATGCATGTCGAGATGCTCTCTCCGAATATTGCTCTAATAACGTGCAGCCAATGGAGGTGAGTTTTATGTACAGATTTAATCTATAGATAGCCATTCAGATATGCTAAAAAATCATGTTTGTGTTGAAGGAGATGCGTTGTTTACAAGAACATTTCGAAGAACAAGAGTTTATACGGAGGCATAAAACTTGCTATGAGAAGGTGAGTGAGTTCACAAGAATGGAAGCTAAAGATACGGCTCTGAATCGTGCACTTACGAAGGCTTGTAAACCGGTTATCACCACATATTGCTCGGTTAGACAATAGTTTCGTTTATTTAATTTACTTGAACTGTTTGAGATGAATAATGCATAATGCCAATTTATGGCGTGTGATTATTATCTGTAAATGAAATGGTTATAAAACTCCGTAAGGAACTCTTTTAATTTATAGCAGTTCTTAAATGAAGATATCGATCATGGTGATGTGATGAATTGTTTGGCATCGAATAAAGATCGTCCTGAGATGACCACAAAATGTCGTTCCTATGTGAATCATTTCGAATTGATTTCACTTCGCGACTATACGTTCAGTCATCGATTCAAGCAAGCATGCGCTAACGATATCACCAAGTATTGCTCGAATAAAGGCAATCAGAAGTAGTTATTCGAATATCTCTTCAATTCAGCAAATTTGTTTTTTTTTTGATTTATACACAGTGATTGCTTCAGCTCTACTTAGATTGCTACAATCGGTTTTTTATCTGAATGCTTTGCACATTAATGATTCACGGATGAAAATAAACGTACTGTCTCCGAAATAATAATACTGCGTAGTGGAAATGATGTGTTGAGTGCAGAGTTGCATTCGAAATGAATTTTTTATTTTGAATTTAACGATCTACGATAATTTTTATTTTGCTACCAGCTTTCATCAAAATCTTTGATAAGGGTGTTTTTGCATTCGTAAGTTATCTAAACTTGCGATAACGAGAGTTCGTTGTGATTATCACGTTATGTGTCGTTTTTTTAATTTTTAAGAGCACAAATAATTGAGTGCCTGTCAACAATAATCGTCGAGCATCGTGTTTTGGGGATGCCAGCCGATTTGGATAAAGAATGCAAGAAGCAAGTCAAAGTGGAATATTTGCAACAAGAAGAGGTGAATGTGAGTGGTTTAGATCATCTTTCAGTGTTCGTTTCAGTGAGTGTTCAATCTGTTGTGTGTGCATGTACGTGCAGCTTTTCCTCGTCCTCTGTTCCGTCCACTGTGACTGCTTTTTAACGTTTTCAAATCAGTCATAATCAGTCATAATTCATAATTGGCTTGCCAGTGAATTTCTTGTAGAGTAAAATGTTTCCGTTGTACTGCTAACAGTTTGTAATCAGCGTAATATTTTCATAACCTTTTGAACCAATCACTTTTTGATCTTATTCATCGAGTTAATGATTCGCTCAGTGGTCTTCTGGCACATTAATTTTTTGTTTACAGTATTTAACAGTACTCACATCAAATAATATCATAAAATATTTAAGTTGATCCCACTTGAATCGTTTCGATTGATATTGTCCATCACCAGATGAAAAGCCATTGAGATGACAACTTGCAATGCCGTTGCTTTACCCATTCCATTTTGTTCATTGCGTTAACATATAATCAATGCCAAAATTAACGCCAACAATGTGAAAGGAGCATAATTCTCACCGTTGATTCGCGGGCACTAAGCAAATAAATGAAATGATTCTTTCACGAACTTTTTTTCGCGTCTGTCGCATTACCAAAAATCTTTCAAAGGTCTCCTCATTAATATTTCAGCATTTGGCAACGTCTATTTCCCCATCTAATTTATTGCTTATCTTTATTGCTGAATCCTGAATCAAACAGTCATCAGCTGAGGGCGAGGTGAAGCATCTTACCAACAGCATTGATCATGAACTGATTGAGATGCTGAAAGATCGATCTACTTGATCTGTATGTGCATAACTTAATACACTATCCTCCCGTATGTTGCGGTGCCAATTCACTCACGATCAGTCATAAATTCTTGCCAATTTAACGTGCTATTAATCATTATTGCTTACTGCAATGATTTCAATACAGGCGGTTCGGTCAAATTTCTTCGTTTTTTAATTATTATTCATCTTAACAAAAAGATGTTTGAAATGGTATAACGTCGCATACCGTTGAGTGGAATTATGGAAACTGGCATATCTCATAGTTATTAAAGCGAAAGGGAATTTTTTTTTGTTGCTGTGATGTTCATAATGTTATTTGCTAATTTTGCTGTATTTGTGCATAACCAGTAAATGGGCACTAATACTAATGAAGTAACGTTCATAACAACAAGTGTTAATATTATTGTCATGATTATTGATATCGAAGTGTTAATCTTAAACCAATGTCTCACTGCAGTTTGATGATCGTGAGCATATGAAAGATGCAGACCCGATTCTTATGGAAAAATGTAAGGATGAAATAGTGCATCTCAAGTGTAATCTGGAGAAGAGTTTCAAAGATGTAATTGAATGCTTGAGAACGAACTTCGACGAGCTCGGTACGCGTTCTGTTATTGAATTCTGATCATTGTTCGGCCCTTGTTTATTGCCTCGACTGAATGAGAAGCATTAGTGTAAGAAGTTTTTATTTATGAACTAATCACGGATGAGGAAAAAATTATTCTTTCACGTGAGTAGTGAATTCTCTTAATGCGATGTAAAGGAAGGCGTGAATGTAAGGGGATATTTATATGGATTTTTATAATGAAGGATGAATATTAAGGAACCGAATGTAAAGCGTTAGTGTTCACTCGTGAGGAGATTGAAGCAGTTGATAACCGGTTCGACGATGAGTTACAGGTTATCATTACTTAGTACCTTTCTCGTGGTAACTGTTTGTATTCAGATCAGCATAACGCTTTAATTTTCAGCAGTTTGTGGCTCTGTTGTCATCGTTATCATCAAATCTTTTGTTAATATTTCGTTGAATTTTATTACTGATTCTACCTTTTATAATACATACCAGTGGTTCTCGACCTTTTTTTTCTCGCCCACACCCCTTAAAAATTTTAAAATGTCCTCGCCCCCCTCACAACACCCACTCTGTATCTCTCGTCCACTACAGTGAGTGTCTGAAGTGTAGATAAGTGTATGCCATTAGAGTGCGAGTAACCCTGATATATACGATTACTTATGTTGCATATTGAAAATCTAAATTTTACAGCGTCAATGCCGTAGTGATATCGATCGTTTTTGTCATAATCAGGAGGGTGATAAAGTTTTGGACTGCTTGAAAAATTCAAAAATTGTTCGCATATTGTCTCCAGACTGCCGAAAGGTGATCGGTTAATTTCATTTTCTTCTACACTAGTTATCTCATTCTGACTAAAACGGAATAAAAAGCCTTTAAGAGGAACAGCAATGACTCCGAATAATTCCCGATTCATTAAAATACAATTAAAGGTGGTCGTGCAACGTATGCACGAACAGCTGCGCGATGTTCGACTACATCCAACCCTACTCGATGCATGTCGTGATGAGGCTGAACAATAGTATGCCGTCTTCACCATTTTACTCTATTGATGACACGATTTGCTAAATTAATAAGCGTGTGCCTTGTATTTTGTTTGCTTCTGATCACATAGAAATTCAATTAGAATCACTGTAAAATGTGACTTTTTTTGAAGAATTTAATGTAAATAATCTTCTCGCCTCGCATTTCCTCTCCAGTTTTGATTTGAGTTTATTGCTGAAATGGTTAAGGACTAAAAGGGCAATTTAAATGAGCTGTTTAGTCCCATAGGAATTTTCATGATGCATAATGTGGTGCATTATTTTTTATTGAGTAAAAATCAGTCTTTTACAGTTGTCCCGATGACTTCAAGAAGATCAACGATCCAAAATATGCCAGACAAACTCTCGAAGGAGTTTTTGTGCTATGCTTGAGAACGCAATACGCTGATCCTCGTAAAGGATTACTACTTAAACCGAAATGCAAAGATGAGGTAATATTTGTTGTTACATTAATTACCCAGTAAATTTTAGTGTATAGTAACCTTAGTTCCCTAGAGTCTTTCATATGGCCAATGTTAAAGCTAAAGATTGCTGAATATGGCTTTACAACATATGCCTAGTTTAACGAAATGATAACACTTTTTATTACAGATCGCGAAAGTGATATTAGAGAGCGAATTTGACGTGGAACTTGATCCACTGCTTTATCATGCTTGTCGAGACACAATCACGAAACATTGTGCCAATAAAGTGATTGCTGGTGGAGGTAGTTTCGAAACTGTGCTCGAATGTCTCAAAACGGATTACAGTCGTGGCGCTATTGGAAACGACGAATGTAAACGTAATGTAAGAGAGTAAAGTTTCATATTTTTAAATTCATTGTTTCAGGAAGCGAATAATGACTAGAATGGTCACTGATGAAATAATATATTGCAGATCGCTAGGCGTTTGCAAGAATCACTGGTCGATTTGCATCTTGATCCCATACTGCATGAGGCTTGTGCTGCAGACGTACAACGTTTGTGTAGTGATGTTCCACCTGGACAAAGCAGATGTTTGCATTTGTGTTGATCATCTTTCACTTTAAATTTGTACTTTCTAAGATTTATTATGTCCATTGTCCCTTTTGCACACTGATGAGCAATATTTAAAAACTTATTTAAGTGTTATGAAAGAAGGCTTTTGTCATTCATTGATGTACTTTGCAATAACGGAAGTTTATGATAAAATGACGAAACCCAAAAATTATCCCTACCAGTTTATTGATTGTGTTTTGATATTTTCGCTGATCAGCTAATTAAAACATTTGAAGTGGTAATTTGTCTGATGGATGCAATGAGAAACCCAAGTGCAAGGATGTCATCGACTTGCCGTAATAAACTGGTCGAAAGAAATGAACTCTGGATGAAGGCTCATAATGTATGTTTTATTATTATTCATTTACAATTTCGATCGTTGTTGCTAATTGTGTGGATTTTATTTATTTCATTTTTTTGAGCTGTTATCGATTATTGGTTGTGGGTATTTTTCGTTCATTGCACCTTTATGCGAAGTGTGTGAATGAAAATTTTATTATTTGTTATTTATGGGAATGTCGATCAGTGACATGAAAGTTTTTGTATATGATCAGTTGTTTCGTTCGAACCAGTAATCAGTTCATTCTGTGAATGATCAGATAGCTGATTATGAATTGGAGCAAATATTAAATTACAGGAACATCAATTGCCGATGCCCGAGAGTTTTATGGATGTGATTGAAATGGTAAAGGTACATCCTCAAAGAACATCATTTTTGATGTGGTTCGCTCTGTTTGTGTTTGTTATTCTCTTTATTGGATGTTGTTGTGGTCGTGCTACAAGCCGTGCTAAAAGACAATTAAAAGATCGTTGAGCAAATATCTTTCCTAATCGATATTTTATCACTCTCAACAATGCTACATTGAATCTTTAAACTACTGCTGGTGATCAGTTTCCAAGCATTCGGCCCACTTATACAATAGATGTGAAAAGATGGGTATAAAATATTTTGCAAACCCAATCGATTTGTTTTCGTTAAATTTAATCGAAGAGTGATCTTTTATATGAATGATGCATGGGTGGGCCAACTCTGTGTTATTTTGTTGTTGTTTTATCATTTTCAACTAGTTTTGTTTATTGTGATTTGATTCTGAATTCTCAAAAACCCATATCCATCACAGTGTCAATGAGAATGAGTTGTAACTTTGTGTTAGTGAATTTACTTAGAACAACAATAAGAACAGAGCTTGTTCTTTTACATTTAGAAGAGGTGATTGATGAGTGTTGTTCTCAATTGATTTATACTTAATACAGTGCTTCACTGTCTAATTTTGAATCTTCCATATTGTTGAGCGAATTACATCTATTTGTATGAGCACATAGCCTTTTTGATGGTCATTTTTGTTTGTTACCATTGTCAGTAATGTTGTTTTTATTGTAATGAGTTTCAAAATGGATTCAACAGCATATTCTCGGTGAAAGAAATGGCACTATTTTAGCCGGATGTAGATATCGTTTTGATGAAAACGAATGATTCAGATTGAGTGCTGTTTTGTCTAGACAAGAAATATGTTGACTCACTGTATTTGAATTAATGCTTAATTCATCGTTTGCATTGTTTTTTGCTTCCTTGAATAATGCTTCCTTGCTGTTGTTTTCACTGAAATATTTGGTTGGTTCCTCTTATGATGCGTAATCTGTATTTCGGGTTTTATGAAAGGTCGTGGATCATCTTTATCAGATGAATTTTGATGATGTTTCTTTCTCTTCTATTTTCATTTTTATTTGTTGCCTCTTCTGCCTCCTCATCAAATTTTCTTAGAGTTCTGAGGAAATTTTTTCCTCATTAATACCATTGAAAAACGATATAAGAATAATAAAATGAAAATGAATCATAATTCATCATATTCAGTCATTGAATTACAGCCTATCTTAATCAATGTTCTTGTGTTGAGTGATATCAGGATGTTTGATTAGAGACCATCTGATTTTACTTTCACATTGCCTGATTTCAGTACCGAATTCCTGATTTTTGGTTGTTCTCAATATGAGTACAAAAAGGCTCATGAGTGCTTCGGTTCAGATTGCTTGCTGTTCATTACTTTATGGGTAAATTTATTGCATCTTTGAAAAAGGCACTCTTGTACGCTCCAAAGTTGAGTGTTTGCTGTGCATTTGTTTTCAAAACAAAAAAAAATCATGAAGAATGTAACTGAACTTGTTCAACACGATGGTTTTGATTAATGTGATTATGCTTATGAGGGAACAGTGGCATGGATGAAGATCAACTGGAATTTTCCATTGAACGATTTTCCAATTGCGAGAATCTCTTCTTTTTTTTAATCGTTCATACTGTTTTAAACAATAGTTATAATAACTGATTAATCGAATTGATTTTACGATCTATCACTAAAAAAGGGTTTTGGTTGTTTCATCCTGCTTAACATTATTTGGTCCTGTTATGTGTATCATCCATCATTAACCAACTGAAGTTCATCGATGAGCTCGTTTCACTGCTTTATTATTGAAATGTCTGTGTACTCGATGAATGAACCAGTAAAGTGATCAAAATAAATCTGCGATCGAGAGATTTGATCCGTTCGAATGCAAACGTCCCGATGTTGTTATGATTGCTTCTTTTAACATTTGTTATCCTATCTGAATGATCGTTATCCATCGAATGTTATTGTTTCGTTTATATTCAGTTATCAATATTCCCACAGAAAACTGAGAGTTGGCATAAGAAGAGTGATAACTATATATGTATATGTGTGTGTGTGATTGTTTTTTGTGATGAATCGTTCAGTGAGGTCGACGTATTGAAACAATTTTTAAAATGAAATTATATGAAGAAATCGTCGAACTGATTGGTAATTATCATTTTATGGAATGATCATTTGGAGAATTCATCAGTGAATGATTCAAAAAGAAAATGAAAATACCCGCAATTAGATTGGCGCTTAACGATTCAATAACATATTTGTTTTATTAGATTATTATAAGCATTATCATTATTAATTTCTGTGATTAGTTGTGATTGAAAACAAAATACATATTTGCTTTGAGAATGACAGTGGTATTCAAGGTTGTTGAACGATGCACTTGTTCGTGTGTCACTCGTTTTCACTTCTCGCACTATTTTCTCTTTCATTTAGCCTCGTTGTTAACTGATGCTTTTGAGTATTATTTCCGTTTGTGATTGTTTTGTCTTGTTGCTAATTAATTTTCCACTTATTGATATTATTATTGTTACTTTCACAACTCTTATTTTTAATTGACTATTACAAGTATTATTAATATTCGTACTCTGAGTTTTTATTGTTTCTAATTTATAATCTTACGAATACTTCTCGGAGTTGTGATAACATTTGTTTAAAAGATGCCACCTTATTAAATTATTTCGTTTTGTTTGTTACGCACACTGCATCAGTTGTCATAATGGACAATAGTAATGACAATTAGTATCAACGATCACATCACTACTGCCAACTGCACAATTGGCAAACGCCCGTTCCACTATTGGTTGGGTCCCATGTGGGCTAAGCATTCGTTCTTTTGCACTGCAATTCGCTAAAAGAAATTTGCATTCACACTATTATTTTGCCTGGGAAAAGACCGTTGAAATTTTGGTAGAATCCTTATGGGGTTCATAAGAAATGCTAAGTTTTATTCAAGTGGAATCCGCGGTACTTGTGCTGTTTAGTCCCTCCACCCGTACGCAAGATCACGCGCGCGTGCGCGTAGCCACGCCCACTGGATAAACCTAAGCCTAATAGTAAGCCTAATGCCGAAGTCAGCGTAACAGAATGGGTGTGGCCTAAAGCGCGTATGACAACGTGCGGCGGTGTTGTTGAAAGCGCAAATGGTGTCTGCGTGCGGGTGGAGGGACTAAACAGCACAAGTGCCGAATCCGCTTATCAAAAAATTACGATAATAATAGTAATAAGAATAACCAAATGAAGAGCCATCTCGTCAAACCCTCAACATGACGAAGATGAAATCGGTTCCGACGAGGCTAGCAGTAACTCACGTTAAGGATATTGGAAATGGGATACTCATCACTGATTTTATCTCATTCGAGTCTTCACCTTCTAAATGAGTTGATTAGTGAATCTGGCGGATTCCTCATCGTTGAAATGATATTCACAGTCTAGGAAGAATTGCAACGTCGCTCGTTTATGAAAACGCGAACCGATCATTCACTGCGAACCGCTTACGTATTGTGTTGTCGTTCACCGACACCACACATATCAGTAGCAACGTTTACGTAACACTGAACTGGAATGATGATCCGAGTATTATTGAGCACCAATAGCATTGAACGTTGAAATTAACTCATTCCGTCGAGTTATTTTATATTAACTCCGTTTTCTTTTGTATCGTCAATAATGTAAGCAATCGCTGTTTGAGATATCGTTTGAAAACCTAGACGGGTCGGCTTTTTTTAAAAAACATGAATTACATGGTTTTTGACTCACTAATAAATTACAAAGAATTTGAAATAGTTGAGATGTGATCGGATATGAACAAATTGGTGTGTTCGAGAAACAAGAGAGGAACTGTATAAATCTTTTGAAGTTGATTATGCTGCTGAATGGGGTTCTGTTTTCACTTGGTTATCCATTTATTTGTTTCTAGCTACTCTGTTGTAAATTCTTTTCTGTCCAAATGCAACTTCGCAGTCGATCGAAAGATGTGGACGATGGTGCATCCACGTCGACGAGTGTGCCATTGGTGGACTTGGAAAAAGGTCGGTTTTTTATCGTTGTAGGATTTTATTTGGTTTAGTTTATTGACTTGTCATACCGTACTGCGTTGGTATTTGATGATATTTGTTAACTGGATGCATTTGATCATTTGCGATTTTTTTGAATGATTTCATAGACGTTAGTCTTTAAACAATACCATCACCAGCAGGTTCAAATGCAGAGATGTTTCATTTGCACAGCATGCGTTTGAAGACAGTAGACACCAGATTAAGTAATGGTACATGTATGATAACCACAAATGGATTGTTTTTAGAGGAATATATATTCCCGGAGCATTTAATAAAGGATCAAAATTGGCGACAACAAGCGCTTTCAAACAAATGTGACAAGCAAGCAACAACGTCAATGAATCTTGCGCTGGTTTTTGATTTTGTTAGCAAGTTCAATGATGCGTTCAACTTAACAAAATTTTCTGAGGAAGAACTGGATGAAGCAATTTCAGCATCGGTTAGCTTATTTTTCAAATTTGGGAATGGTTCTTTCAAAGACTAAACATTTGCGGATTGTAAAATGTAATTCAGTGTGGGATTTCTGTTCGTGACATCAACATTTACTGGACCGATTTGTAGGAGTTTTATGAAAATGGAACGCAATTTGTGAGTGATGTAGATGAATGGAGTATTTATCTTTTGGAATGTTTAGATTTTTAGTCTGATCGTTTCATTGTTTTACGCATCGGTATTACACATTTCATTAAAATTCAAGGATAGCTATAGAAAGAATTGAGAAGTGGAAGGAATCGGGTCGCTTTTTTGATTAATCAGGTTCGTGTCGGGTTGTGAACCTATGATATATTTTAAGATCAGTTCATCATCATCTTACACTCTTGTTCGCTTGGTCGTAGAACTATTGTCTGGATTCACTTCAATTGATTCTTCTCATCAAATGAGAATGTATCACAGAAATCGGGTTTATAGAGAAACGAAGTTTGTTTCAATCCAATTCGTTCCTTTTTATCCTAGAAATTATATTGAAGATTCAATAAAGTTTTATTGTTACCAAAAATAGCATATATGTTCTTGTAATGTGAATAAGCTTCCATTTATAGAAAACTGAAAGGTTTATCGTCAAAATCTAAATAAGTCATATATTTTTTGTTTTTTGAAATTTTAATTTACTCAGTTTCCCATTTTCAGTAATGAAAATTATAATCTTTCTTTGTGGGAGTTTTTCGATCATGACTGGAAAGTGTTCACACACGGTGCTTTTGATCTCGAAAATTTCTTTGCCTCTTCCAAAGGTAAGTCTATTCATTGATTATTCAAGAAGTTAGCATTCTGCCCTCGTTCTTCTAATGATAACTCATCATTCCGTTTTAGTTTCCTCCTTTTGTCGTGAAAAATTTTGTCAAAAATTTCTGTGTGCTGTTTAAAACATTACCCCTTATCACTGACATTACAGTGCTCAATGATAACGAAATACTTCTTCGAGCTGATCATGTTGGACATCATGTTCATTTCTGTCATATTTTTATGTGATGAAAGATACCAATAAATTTTGTGTCGTGACTTGATGCAGTGTGTATGAGTTGAATGAATGCAAGTATAGAATTGCTTAAAGATAATGTTTATTGATGGTGGATGAGTTTTTCAGAAAGAGCTGATCTCTTCAAGTTTAACTCGGATATTCGTGCTGTTATTCTTTATGAACTTTGTCAGTATCGATTAGCATGTTTTGATGCACAAAATGTCATTGATTCGGTAAGTTGTTCAATAAGTGATTCTGAATATGTACAGTGATCAACAATCATCTCGCCCTTTACGGATCTATTTCCGCATATTACGAATCATCAATGCCTCAGTTATATCATTACTGTGGATCTGTCAATAAAGTGGTGGCATTGTTTATATCAAAATTAAATTTACAGACTATTGATGAAAGTGAGTCACCCATGGGTGATCAGTTACGCACATCTCCTATCGGTGGATTTAATGACGAAAAGTACTATTACTTGGGAGGAACATGGCTATATCGATGGAAGTCGATTACAATCAAACACACCAAGTTAGCGCTTGAGTTTCGTATAATCTGCTGAACCGTTTCGCTGCTAACAATAAGTGCATCTTGCAAGTTTTCTTCGTTTTCAGACGAAAATCAAAAGTATCAAATAAGAGGAGTGTTGAACGTCGAAACACACCGAAAAAGTCACGTAAGGAAACGGAAGATTGCTTTGTGCAAAATGAAAAAGTTGATAAATTGAATGAAGAAATGCACGAACGGTTTGTGTTTATGTCATGCCTTGATGAACTCATGCTTATGTGCATTTTACTTTACCGTTGCGAATATTTGCTTTAGGTCTTATTTGCTTTAATAAGTAAACCTTGAATACGTTCAAGAATCATGTTTAACATGATTCTCGAACCAATTCAAGATTTACTTATTATATAGCTAGTAATCTAAAACTGTTCGAAGGGACTCATTCAACTAGAAAATGTGCTTAACTGCATAGATACAGTAGCGATGCACTTGATAATGTAAGCTTTGCTAACTTGATTAATCCGATTCCAGTCCCAAGAATGGAGTTGTGAGTAAAAAAATGGTGACAGAAATAGAGACGAACAGTGCAAAAGAAATGTCCGATTCAAATAGCGTTGTAGAGGATTGTGAGCAATCTGATTGCACTGAAGTAAATGGACAAAAACCTTTAATATCGAACGGCTGTGGTAAAGAGGGCGAACCTTGTTCTGCTCAAATCGATAAGGTTGTTTTCGTTTTTCTCTGTAAGCTTTTTTTCTTTCGGATCTTTGAATAGTAATATTTGATTATTGGAATATCATCTTTCGTTGTATTCAGATGAATGAATTGCACGACGGAGCTGTTCGGACAATCGACAGCGAGAAGCATAAAATAAACAATGATTCAGTCAATGATAGCAGTAATATCGAGGACACTATCAACGCTGAGGTGACTCCTTGTTGTGTATAATTCTCGCTTTTCAGTTCACGTAGGATAAGTGGATATCGGAAAACAGATTTTTAGTGTTGATTATTTCTTATGTTCATCTTTATTTTATTTCACTCATATGCTACATCCCACTGATCAAACAAAATCTTTTTTGCCCTTACGAATCAGATCGGATTCTCGACTTGCGTTGATGACATATTGAAGTACATTTAAGTCTTTCGTGCTTTTGGTTCTCATTTGTCAGGATCATTCAGTAAATCTTTGGATCCGCATTAATAATTTTTCGATTCATTTGTTCATTAGGTGATACTATCACTTGTGTGTCATTCTCTTGTATAACGATATTTTAGGAGTATTTCGAATGTTTGCGAGTGAAAAATTTTCTGTGGGAAGTGGTATGCAAAACTGAAGATCATTTGCATTTCCTGATTGAATATTTCCGTGAAAATCGTAGAAAGGCATTAGTGAAGACTTTAATCGATGTTGTTCTACCGTCTGTACAAAAGATATTCAGCGCGGTATGATCAGTCTTTGCATTCCTTACTTAAATATCAAACAAAAGATAACTTGAAAATAGCTGAGATGTTCGTTCGAAAGCAGTTTATTTGATAATATTATATATACTAACAGTTGGCGACCGATAGGCTTTTTCCGACAGTTGCTAAAACTCGACCGTATGAGTTCGACTCATGCAATCGAGTCTTTGATGGCTGGTCGAAGCATAGAGTGAATCACAGTTATATTGAATCTGGGAAAGCGTCAGTCTGGAAAAGAATGAACATCAGCCCAAGTCTAGAGTGAGCCACAACTGAAGTCTGAGATAAGCATCAACCTCGGTTTCGTGAAAACAGCGATTATTCATATTGCTTCTTCGAACAGTTCTCGAAAACTCAGTCATAAGAGTCCGTAGTTTACTGTTTTTATCGAACAGGTTATGGGGGGTCATCAACAAGGCAGTTTCAGAGTAAGTGTAATCGATTTCGGTCGATGTTCACTCAAAATTGCTGTTTTTTTTCATTTCCATTTGGGGCACCGAGGCTTACCGTTTATTTATATCATAAGTTTTTGCTGTAAGATACTATGGTTTGTCCACGTTCAGTGCAAATTTTAATGCAAAATTGACTGGGATGAGGTTCATGTCAAAAGCAAAAGTATTACGTTGTGATTTGCATCTACTGACTATGCACTGTGGTTTGATTGCAGCGCAGGATCGCCGAGAAGAAACGTAATCGATTCGTACCGATTGAAGTCAAGGATACCTACCTAAGCAGTCAAGAAATACGACACAGTCGTCGATTGGAACAAAAGAAAATCGAACGTGAAAAACGTTTAGAGGTGAGTCGAGTCATTTTCACCTCGCACTAATTATCGATTGATTCACATGATTTCGAGTGATCACCTCAACGATGATACCTTAATCGTATAATGGCTATATCGTATTTCCGCTTTTGCTTTAATCGTGGAATCTGTTCATCTTATCAATTTATGTGTTTATAATATTTTATTCGGCAATCTTCTGAGTTGATTTTCATTCTTAACTTGAACGTACCCCAATTTGATCGCATCGATTTTCCACAGCGAATGATTCTTTACATGATTGACTCATCGCAGATGACGAGTATGCTCATTGATCATTACTCGGTGCTTGATGAATTTTCAATGCGTTTTGAAAATAGCAGTTTTTGATGTTCTATAAATCCTTCGTACACGTTTTGAACATGTTTTGCGGAAACCGATCAATATTTTGCAGTAATGATTCAGTTTTTTTTTCAACATATATTAGGGTTATTTTCTATTTTTGAGCAACTCATTTAATATCTCTGTTCCATCTTAATTGCATTTCATCTTTGTTTAAGGAAGAGAAAAGATTGGGAATAGAATATGGGCGCCGTTCAAAAGAAGAACAGTGGCAAAGAAGATTTGCTGGTAAAACAACAATTTCACCAAACGAAAAATTCAATCGACTTGTCAGTAGTTGCATTTCATTTTGATTCTCCATTCTATATTAAAGCGTTATTTAGCCTTAATTTGTGTGCGGCCTTTTTTCTTGATAGTTCACATTCGAATGGTCGTACTTGAAATTTTGTTCACATACAATGAAATAATTGGATCTATTCTGGAATATTTTTTCCAGATCCAATTTTTTCCAGTCGGATCTGTTTTCCAGAGTTTTTCAGATTTTGTCAAGTATTGCTTCCTTTTTATTGAGTAATTAGTTTGTAGAGCCGCGAGGAACGAGCTAAGCAACGTGAGCAACGAATTGAACATTATAATCTCACAAGGCGATTGAAGATGGGTATGTTTATTAGGCGATTAATTTATTGATATTCAAGTGGTTTGCTGTGTTCAATTCAATTTCACCTCTGAAAATTTGTTCACGTTCAATTCAAAATTCAAATTTCAGTTTTGAACAAAATATCGTTTATTTCAAAAGGAATGCAACGGGTGAATGACATGAACTTTAGTCTTTTCTGTGATTCAAATAATTATGAATCATCGATGAAAGGAGAGTCGTTTATAGGAATGAGTGAACCATCAACCGGATCTTCGTTTGAGTGTACTCGTAACGGCGCGTATGGTCATTCAAATATTTTAACGAATGAATCATATCGAACCAATCGTTTAAACGGGAAAGAGAAGGATTACAGAAGAAGTGCCCGAGCAGTATATAACGGTGTGAATTCGTCTGGGATGGCCAGCCATTATGGTGATGATTATATAGAGTATGATCGCAACAGCAATGAGCAGTTGCCGATTGATGGAATATTGCATAGCGGAGTGACTCATTCATATGCATATTCGAAATATGGTCTAATGAAAAATACGATCAGTGCATGTCGGAATGGTGATGTCAGTGCGAGTGCTGCTAGAACAAGGCCTATTGATTGGAGGTTTTATCGTGCGAAACGATCATCACATTATCAGCAGTTCTATGATAGTCCTAACGAGTGTGAATCGCAATGTTCTTATGAACAAACCATGTTAACAACATACGACGAACAACACTTTCACAACGCTCATTCAGAAGAAATTCCGTCGCTAAACACATCCCATAATAACATCTCTTATGATTTTTGTAACACATCCAACATGAATGGCGACAATCCCATTCCGTCAGCAGTTGCGGATAATGATCAGGTTTGTTGGTCAAGTTGTAAATTAATTAATCACTTCGTAAAGCTGTGCAAATCAGATAATCTCCCATCGCTGGTCAGTTAACGGAATAATCTTCTTTGGTTTTCAATAAAACAATTTTCAAGCAAGCAATAAACCATTGTATCTGCCTGTTCAGTGCTATTGCAGAACGAACCAGTTACTACAGACGGATTTGTGGATTATCCAGCTTTCAAAGACGGTCAGTTGCGTTGGTTTCGGATTGTTGAGCCAACTGGAACTCGTATTATCTTACAGCGAAACGAACCGTTCAAGGAGCACGATTATTTCTGTTAGTCTATCAACCGTTCTTTTTCGATTCAATATTAAACGTGAAATATTACTCTTCTCAATGATTCAAAGCGTAAATTCAAATAAGTTTTTAAAAATTTCACTTGAGAAGCATGAATCTGAAACAGTTTCTTTTACTTGCTTCGATCTGATTCTTTCTCAGAAACGATTCTGTGTTGTTGGTTCTCCTCTTCGAAACATTTCTGAAATGGTATTATGACAGTTAGTGAACATGTTGTACTGAAGTTCCGAGCTGTTTTTTTCATATGAAACATGCATGCAATGAGACAACCTGAGAACAGTTGTGTCATACTGCTCGTAAGAGTCATCAATATTAGATTATATCCTCTGAAAATAGTTGGAATCAATTTGTCAAACGCTAAGATTTAATTTTGATTTCAGTGCCGACCGTCGAACAAATCGTCACCAATAAATGGTTTGTTCAGTTATCAGCATTTGATTGGGTTCAGCAATTATTTTTGGAAATAGTTTATAGTGGAATGAATGTTATGACAGTTGCTCATCGAGGATATGAAAAAAAAAATTACTCTGTTGTGATTTAGTGATGTTTAGAACATTAACTGCAAATGTTCCGGTTTGTATGCCGTAATGTGTTCAGTTGATTCTTTCTTCATAGCATTTGACAATTCAGTTAATGAACAAGCATTTTCGATAAATGGAAATTTGATTGATGTGCTTTTATTAAGGAAGTTTTTGGTAGAACCCATTGATGAGTCATCATCGGATCAAAAAACCGAATTTACGCTTCAGTTCGGTCAACAAACCGGTAAGCTAAAGTTATTTTGAGTCATTTTTTTGAAATCCACAATGGTATCATATTGCTTGGTAGCATTCTTCTAGATTCATTATGAACCAATAGAGTATTATATCTTAAATTATGATATACCTCTCGTCAAGGTTGTCATAATCTTATATTCAGTTGATTATCAGTTGAAAGTTCATATAGGTTATGATGATTAGGCGGCAGTCATTTTCATGATGCGTTTCGAATTTCGTATTTATTTGCGACAAAATAAGCTTCTCCTCATTTTCGCTTGACGATGTTTTCTCAGCTGTCGTTGCGCTACTTTTTTGTTGATTTCAGAAGAGTTACTGCATCAATTCGAAGAATCGAAGTATATGAATGAATTAGAATATGAATAAATGATACTTTACGAATGAATGATGCATAAAATGGAGTCGAATCGCTGCAGAAAGCAATAAGAAATTGGCACTAATTCAATCTTCGTTACATTTCATTGTTGAGAAGTGCTATCAGCGATCCATATTTTTTGATCAGTTTTTCTCAACTGATCTTTGGCACTTAGATTTGTGTATATTGTTTGTTCATTAATCATTGAACAAGAAACGCTCATTTTTTGGCCGTTTCAATGGCTTTATTCTGAATGTTTTAATGAATTGTCGACGTTCTACCATTTATGTTCTTTTTTAATCGCCAAGCGATACAGCTTGTACGGTTCTCTGCACTGGGTACTGATCTTCGGGTACATTACTCTACAATCTCTCAATGTCACACATTTGTTTGATATGATTCTGGCCGAATTTCGTTTTATCTGTTCATCTGGAACGAACGAGTACAATATGAATTTGTTATTACCAGTCAACAGAGAGTTCTTATACATCGTCTGCTTTGTGTAGAGATTTCATAAATTCCAGTGAACAGACTTCTATGGAAATTGCGAGCAATTCTGATTTGAATGTATCAAATTTCATTGGAGCGTGGAATCGAAAACGCTCATCCCGATCATTCATTACCCCTCTTTTTTGGGTTTTCGCATGATCTGAGATCTTCGTTCCAATTGTATTTTTCGAACCATAGTTCTTGTGTGAATCGTTGTACAACTAGAAATATTGATTGCGAATGTTCGACCGGATGAATCGTAGAATCTGTCATTTCATATCTATATTACCAATTCCTGTCTGGGATTGCAGAATTATTTTATCTCCTTGCAGTGAACAACGTATCCAGGAAGTCTTAGTTTGTGTCATTCTTTTGGTAATCGCCAGCGGTGATAGTCTTGTAGAATTTTTCATCATCGCGAATGAATGTTACCGAATTCAGTTTTGTAATGGCAGGTGTACCTCCGCATTCTTGACGCAATTATAAGTATTACTGGAGAGAAGTGAGAAGGAATTCAAAATTTTTCTTAGTTTGTGTCACTTCTCTCCATTTATCTCAATTTTTCTTCTAACAATAAGACTTTAAGTGAGAATAAAATTTATCCCATTATCACTTAATACGAGCTTTGATTTTCCACTTTCGGTGACAACTTTCACGAAAGAATGAATGAATAGCTCAGTGGAATGAATGAAGATCTTTCGAGGAGTGCAGTATACATCTTTAATTGAGTTTAACGGATTGCTGCCCATTGTTGTTGGTAACATCTTCGGCATTTCAAGTTCTGGGAAAGCACTCCCGGTTCAACTTTTGATTTTTTGTTGTGTAGAATATGAGAGACGATGGACCCATCCACTTTATTTAAGGTAAATCATAACATTCAAAAAAAAGCGCCTTCAATTAACTTCGTATAGTTGCTGAAAGTTTGCAGTACGGAAAGGTGGTATATGATGTAGTTGCTAGGAAAAAGTGATCACCCAACGTCGTTATTTGCGAGTACTTTGAACAATCCGGTGTAAATTAATTTTGATCGAAGAAATATTACTGATATTGACACGTCGGAATAGTTGTTGCAAGTTGAGCTTAACAAAGGGAACGAAGAGTTCGTATAATATCGACATTTTTACATTGTTAATCGCATTGATGTTTAATGTTGATGTTTTTTTTTAAATTTGATATCGTTACATTGTGAATCGCAGTATATTTATGACTAATAATTTATTTTCTTCTTCGATGAAAACTTTCTTCGTCTATTTTGCTCTTTTTTTCAACTTTATGAAAAATTCAGCACAAAATATCTGCGAACTGAAATATCTGAATTACACTGAAGAACTAAAAGCAAAAAAATCCTTCCGTTGCTGATTCATAATCGAATTAGCGTGCAATCTATGGTGCTTTAATGCGTTAACAATTTTGTTGACGTTCTTTATTCGATCGTTTTCCAATATTCTGAGTTGACCTTGTTGATTTTTTTTCAGAATTTTAAATTTTGCACTTTGATATATCGTTTGTATTTACAGCTCCCTTTTCAGGGTTTATAACTGTTTATATTCATAATGTTGATGCTGTTGATTATCATATTTTGCAATATTTTTCGCCTACGTTTTTTATCTCGAGAGGTGAACGTTTTATCAAATTCGATGAGACGTTCGAAATAAGGTTTTATTTGCGTTAAAAGTATGTTAAATTAAAAGTTGAGATAGCAAATTAAATGCCGACAAAGAGATGGATGTGAATCAATCGTAACATATAAATCTCTTCATTGTTTTGATGATCGCACTTCGGTGAACCAAGCAGCCACATCAACATTGTGTTGTTCGCTTGCTTGTATAAACTGATGAGCCTTAATATTTAGGAAATATGTGTATTTGAAAATCAAAACCCAGGACAAGTGAAACATTTGTTAAGCATTCATTCATTATCGCAAGAACAGATTCCCAAACGATTCGATATTCGATAACCATGATCAGTGTAATCAAAGTGTTAAAGTTTACCAAAAGCTGCTTGTAGTTATATCGCTGTGATGCTGCTTTGGCTAGACACTTTCGGATAAAATCACGGAACTCAGGAGAGAAGTTATCATCATCATCAAGATTGGGTGCTGGGTCTTTGTTTATGACCGCAACCAATTCAAAGTCCGACATACAGCCATTATAAGGGTGATTTCCTGTAGCCAATTCAATTAAAGTTATACCCAAACTCCAAACGTCCGCTCGAATACCGTACGAATTATCAGTGCTGCCAACTCGCTCTGGCTGAAGAATATTTAATCGATACCGAGATGAACTAAAATGCAATCGAAAGGGATGCTTATCGCTTTCGAAAACAATTTTTCAATCAGTTAAGAGACAATGTATCATCCATTCAAAATAAAACAAATTCAGAATGGAGTCATCGTAGACTGTGCATAAGAATATTGGATTTGTGATTGAATCGAACCGCGAGGTAAGCAGCACATCCTTTGCTGTTAGTTACTGCTCGTCTTGAATCGATCAGTTGACCCGCAATGCCAAAATCACATAGTTTTATTGAGCCGCTGTTATCAATCAGAATATTCGATGGTTTAACGTCGCGATGCATGATATCCTGAAATTAATTTCTTATTATCTCACAAACTCAATTATCGTCAGAGAATATTTGCAAAAGTATTTGCCAACAACTGATCACATTTGTTGAGGGTGAACGTTCTGATTAACAACAATCAGTTTGCTATACACTTGCGATATGCAAACAACGTTTCAGACAATTCTGAACGAAGAAAACTTCTCTGATTCATTATTACAATGTAACAGATCTAACGAAACGTTGAAACAATGCGGCAACAAATATCAAACTTATCTCGTTTTCATGTAAATATCTCAGTGCAAGAAGTACACACGTTGTAATCTTTCCAACAATTCTCTCGGGGAATGCATGTGCTATCTTTAATAGTTTGTCGAGGCACATCGACATTAGCTCCATACATATGCGAACTTCTGACTGAAAAAAATGAGCTGAGGTTGCATACTTCAGAAGGCACACGATAAATATAATCATTCTCCAATGGATTAAAATTTCATTAATTGATAATAATACGTACGTCGGAAACGAAACATCCATAGCATCGAACGATATTTGGACAATTGTGAGATCGCATAATTACATCCATATCCATTACTGTTCTCTTGTTGTTTTCTGGATTTCCAGTTATCGGGATAATCTATGAAGTGAAGGAATCATTTATGCAACAGATAATTCAAAGTCAGCTACATTTTGAAACTGATTCAGGAGCCTTAATAATGCATCATCAGTTCATTTTTTAAGTATCATATTTCACTTGAGTTCAACAAAAAAGCGAAACGTTCTCGTAATGATTCACCTTTACAGCCATTAGAGTCTTCGTCTTTTTGAACTGAGCTTTTCTGACCACTCCAAACGCCCCACGTCCTAATTCAGCGAGTTCAACAATGTCGGATGATTCTGCAGGATATTCTTTCCCCAGGATTGTTAATATGCCTGACCGTCTTCGAATCTCTTCATATTTTCGTTCAACCTAATGTTCGTTGGCATGAACAGCAAGACAGTTTCATTTACATCTTAATGCCTGCTGCCTTCATATTAAAACTAAAACTGAGAGAATGCACATTATCAGTATGAAGTATATTAGCAACAGATAATCTATGAACTTCGAAAAATACAAAAAAAAAACATCATCTGTGCGTACTTGCTCATCCGTCATTGGCACCTTCGGAGTGGGCTCAGTAAAATTGAGATTGAGCTCAAACTTTCGGTCCATAACCTTAAAAACTGTGGCAGCACTTCTCACAATTCTCAAAGCATGAATGGTAAAGTTCCAAAATTTCTTTGAAGACGACAACAAATTGAACTGTTTTCACAAATAATACGTCGTCACTGAGCACTGCACTCATAGCTGTGGTGATGATCACTTCTAGTAGGTTTCAGAACACTACGAATAACACAGATTAGCCAAAATTTAAAAACTTTCAAAATTAGCTCGATTTCGGTTTTAAGCAAGCTCTTCGAAAAGTTGTATACTGCAGATTTCAAGATATCTGCATGAATCATTGCTCTTAAGAAAGATTTAAAAACAAATCGCTCACTGAAGTAGAAACTGATAATCATGGTAATCTTATCAAGCCACACACATTATCTAAAGTTACGCATTATCTAAAGTTATCAGTCTTCAACAGGGTCAGTTTTGAAGGGGGCAATGCGAAGAACGTTTTAAGAATATAGCACTTGATTCAGATAAATAAAACGATTATTATAGAGAGGTGGTGCAATATTGGAAAAAACTGTAACAGTGGATCAGCATAGTTGAATTGTTCAAATTAATTTAAAGAAATGATTGGAATTTATTAATAAATGCATAATTCCATCCCTCTTATGAGATGCATACTGGTGATTTCAGTAGAATATTTGATGTATAACACTTCTAAGGATCACCCGCAGTCACACAACACATTATTTATACAAAAAGTCGTCAATGCTTCGGCGTTCAACGGCATGTTATAATCAGACGGAATACAATGCATAAAACACGAAATATTTAATTTCATAGATGATCATAATTTTCGTAATTTTCGAAACAATCAAAATATTTATTTATTTCCTCAAATTTCCGTCCACCTCCATTTTACATGCCAGCAATGTATCTGCATAAAAGCATATTTTTGAGCATATCCACACCAATCATCTACATAAAGATCAATGTTTCATGCTTTCACTATTCTTAGATCGTATTTTGTTCAGATGATGACGTTAAAAATCAAAACACTGAGAGATTTCAAATGAACGAACAAATATCGTGTGGTTGCCTGTCCAATCCGAGCAAGATTAAACATCAAATAATTAGAGAATATTGAAGTTATTTCATTCCTAATATACAGTTACGCATAAATATGCATAATGTTCCATTACGTTCATAGCAAACGATTTAAAAACGACGGAAAAGAGTGAATTGAAATGCGATTGATTGTGCGTATTATTTGTATATTACGTGAAAGAAGAGAAAATCAATCAATCGATAGTGATTTGTAACGCATTCGATCAGTTGTACGCACTCAAATAAGAAAGAAATACTACAGAAATGATGACGAATGATAATCGAGTGATGAGGAAACCATTTGAGGATTCACTTGAAGATCAATAATTTTTTTATTGTGGTGAGTTGGATGAACTGATTGAAACGATTCGACAATGACGAAATATGAATTATCGTCTTTAATACAATGTGGAACAGTACGCAGAAATCGTTGGCCAATGACTATGCACAATGAAGAAAGGATATAAATTTTATGGAGTGCAACGATGTTGAGCTAATGAAACGATAGTGCAGCTGATAACTTTATCTGTGCTGAATCGTTTGTTGTATCGTATTTGATTATGTAAAAGAAGCTGCACTTGTAGAAATGGTGGCCTGTTCAGTCACTAATGTTCATTGGTCAATGAAAAAAACTTGCAAACGGTCTGAGCATTTTGAATCAAGATTAATATGAAGAACTGGACAATGACATGAAAGTATTTGAAAAAGTACTACAAAATTCAAACCTAGATATCAGAAACCCACCAGTAACCTATTGCAGTAATCAGTTATAATCTATGATTCATTCTCATGCAGAAACGCCTGAAGATTTTCTTTTTTGCACCATTTTCTCTCAGTCTTTTCATCAGTTCGATTTTTTCAACTTTCCTATTGCAAACCGATGACCTCAGTTCAAATCAAAATTATTAGCTGACCTCGTGGCATTAATAAAAACTGCATGATGCATTCATAATTAACGACCTACAGAAACCTTTTTCATGTGAATTTTGAATGAAATGCGAATTTTGATTTTTGCTCACCAATTGCGAAAAAACTCTCGAGAACTTACTTCGATTAACTGAACTCTCGAATACTTGAACAACAGCATCAAAGTGGCATATACTTTGTTCGTTTTTTAAGTGCAACGGTTATATACCAGCTATTTTTTCATGTTGTTTAATGCATTGCTTGCTGATCTAAATTCACTGAATATATAAACAAGCAACGTCAAGAACTTGAACCAGAATGAGAAAATGAGCAAGCTCCTGAACTTTAATGAGTTTACGTGTCAATCAATGTTCTGCTGAATGAGTTATTTTGAACTGAGTTATCTTATGGATTGGTGCCCAATACTAATCACGCAGTGGTTTTCCGCTAATGCTTTGCATGGATTATCCACTCTGTCACATTTTACAGTTTTCTTTGCTCGATTTTAGTTGATGAATTCGATGAGAAGAAAACTTTTAGCATCTCTTCACGTCACAAAGACTGACAAACTTAACTTCAAAATAGAACACGGCGATATTGTCACTGCAATCAAATTGATTCAAAATTTTATGAGTACTATTTGTTTGTGGTACTATTCGTGTTAATTGATAACATAAGAAGTTTATGTAGGGTTTATAGCTGTTCTGATTGACGCTTAATGTATTTGTTGAGTTCGATTTGTTTTCATTTCACTCATTCGTTGTGATAATATCACATGTCTTGGTCATCACCTCTAGCATCAAATGTTATTGTGTTGTGCTCTTCAACTTGAACAACTGCTGTTCATTTTCGTTTGTGGATATCTCGAAACACAGCACTTACTATCTGCATTGTTGTTAGCTGCTTTTATTATAAGAAAATTTGTTAATGCGCTTTTTTTTTTAAGTTCAAAATATTCGTGTCAAATTATCTAATCTAATGAGAACATTCTTCGTTAAGTTCAATGCTTTTCTTTTTATTTGGTTAGGAACAGAGCGATTAGTTGTGCTTAATATAATTACTCTGAAGGGTGTTGAGATATTACGTTTTTGGAAAAAAGTCGACAATATATGTGCACATTATTTATGCACCGAATTTTTTCCCCTCAAGTGATCCCCTCGAGGTGCGTTTCTTCAAGTGCATCAGTTTTTTTTCCATTGGATGTTTCGATTCATTACCTGGATATTTTAATGCACGAAGACGATTTAACGCAACTTTCATAAGCCACAAGATTATCACTGTCTACTTGTTGAAAGCACAACCATAGAATCTGAATTGTTTGGTGACTGAAAATGTGAGAATTCAAGAAGTGATGTTTTCAAATTAGGCGTCAATTCCATACGAAAATCAATTCAAACTTCAGAACGCTTACATCCTTAACGCGTTCAGTCGTATGGAAACCATCAGCGGTGGCGGAAAAAGAAATTGAGCAGTGTTATTCACGTTTAGATTTGAACTTTGAAAATGGTCAGGAAGCATTTAAAGTGAGTGATTTGTGTCTGCTTTATAATAAATCTGCATTGTTTATATATAATTGAATAACTATTTGCTAACTGATTCTCGAAACTTTTTTAAAGTCCCGCTATGTGTTTTGCTGTTCCAGCCGAATTCCTACAATATTTTCTGTATGATATACACCAATAACCAGAATTAAACAGTTTTAACGTGTAAAACTGCTTAATTCAGATTATTTGAGTTGATGTAATGAACATTTTCACCCGATGAAAAGAAAAGTTCCAAAATGCAGCTAGAAGTTTACTGTGCACGTATACTAGAAAATGCTCTAACGGATGATCACATTTGACACTATTTTTACATTTTTTGCAGAGTAAAACGAATTATGAGTTATTTCGTGCACTTTTTGTGCTACGAATGTGCTCTTATGATATACTTATCAAGAACAACAATGCCATTTTGAAAGTGATGCGAAAAATTATGGGCCAAAAACTGTTTAGCAAGGTTCTTAAAGCAACATTCTATGGACAATTTGTTGCTGGAGAGGATCGAGATGAGGTCAGAGTCTTACATTGTTTTGTTTCGTGAACAAGCAGCTTTTTCGTTCGTGCTATGTGATGTGACCGACTTCACACTTCAATTTATCGGTTGCCAGTCATTTTCTTCTCGGACTAATCTCATTTGACAGCAAGCGATATGATTGTTTGTCGAACTTGATGCCTTGTAATCGTCAGTGAATGCTTCAGGTGATACCAACCGTGGCGAAAATGCAAAAGTTTGGAGTGAAATCAATTTTCGATTACAGTGTTGAAAAAGACATTTCTAAAGAAGAGGCACGGAAGAAGGCATTGGAGCATGTGAAGGACGCAGGACAAGTCAAGAGCACAGTGAGCGTTCGATATCATTTGTGAGAATTCTTACTTTTCGTTTCAATTCCTAGAGCATATCAAGAACAGAAGAATGATCATGGTGTTATTGATGAATTGAATTTGATATTTATTTTCGCCGTTCGAAAATTTTTAGCACCATTCAAATCAAGTGCCAAATATAACACGATTTCAGCTCCAATTTAGTTTCAACTAAACATTGCTGTACTTCTCAGATTTATTTATGAACCATGATGCACTTGTACAATTTAAAGTGCATTTTGAAAAAAAGCAGTGACGTGAGTAGATCTCCAACGATATTCAGTGCGTTGTTCACGTTCTGATGTAATTCACTTATCACGCTTTTCACTATTATCATGTGTTAGATCGGTTAGCTGAGTCGATGAGCGATGCTGATCACATACAATCGTATCATAGTGGATAATTATTCCCTCATAATTATTATTCAACAATATGAATTTTATTGCTGACATACCATTCATCTAGCATCAAATCATTCACAAATTACTCAACTTTAAGTCAATTTAACAACGTTTTATTGTTGTCTTTTTGCTCATTCATGAACTTTTGATCAATTTTTCTACAACAGTCACCTTCATTTCGATCAATTCAATTATTGCTAATTGCATCTAGAATCATGAAAAATCATTTTTAAGCCGTTAAATGAAGTGGTTGATGAGGGAACGGTCGCTAAAACTCATCGTAAGTACAATGTTTATGAAGAATTTGCAGATCGACGTCAGAATGTTGTTAGTGCAAGGTATTATTTACATTCAATCGTTCGGAAACATGCTCAGCTATTGCTTAGCGGTGTTTTCCGTTTTCATGAATTCATAATCAATGACGTGAATTATTCTCCATAAACCCATATGAATTCATCTTGAACAGTCAGTATGCACTCTCGTAAGCAGAATTACATCGAAGACGTTCCTTAAATTATCTCGTTTAAATGGTAATAGACTGAAAAATGGGTTCGTTCAAAACGATATTGAAAATGAGGTGTCAGGTTCTTAGATACAAGAATTCACTACTTTCATTCTTTTATACAGCTAGGCAGATTTTTACGTTCTCTGAAACTGGGATTAATCCCATTTAAGTGTAAAATAATAATGATAAGTGGTAAACGAAGCGTGTCCAGACAGCACGATGGAAATGATCAAACTTTAGGACATATTTCTATGAAGGAGAACAGGAATGTGATCGGAACTGTGAAATATTCTGTGAAAGTATTGATGCTGTTGCATCAACAACAAATGGACTTGGATTTTCAGCAATTAAAATCACCGCGCTTGGGAGGTTGTTTTTGTGTTCCTTTACTTTTATCTGACAAATACCTTCCCTAATACTGTATGAGCAGAGAAAGTATGAGAACCGGAAATCTTCAGTGGCAGAACTAACAATTAATAGATTTTAATCAGTCCATTTTAATGAAAAAGAAAACGCTTTTAACGAACGTATGAGTAAAGATACTCAAACGCTTTTAATGTGACACTCTAAATGATGATTGTATTCTTTAGACCAGCACTTCTTCTAAAAGTATCTGAGTTTATCGCTCAAACACAAAATTTTTTCAAAGCGATAACTGGGTCAACATGGGAAAATCTTGTTCTCAGCAAAATTGATGAAAAACGATTCCTTCAAAAGCTACAGGTGATTTCGCTTTAGAATACTCGGTAATTAGTTGTATTATTGTACTGTTGATTTTAAGCTATCGATTTTGCTTTGATCATTGGAAGCCTATTTTTTTAAACTTATTGTTGATTTTTGTAGAGATGAACGTTCGGTTATTTCGTCTACGATTAATGCATTTATATCGCTCTTGAATAGTTTAACAATAACGCATGTTTGCGCATAATAATAAGATATTCAGTATGATCTTTTTACATTATTTGTTTTATCTTAAAGGACTATGGAATTAAAACAGACAGTAAAATGGTTCAAGAATGGTTCAAGTCGGCCGATTTCGATCAAGATGGATTTGTTGATTTTTATGATTGGACTGAAGTTATTGATGAGCAAAAGAAATTGCATGAATTGTTCCAGGTTGGATGCTTCGAACTATTACTAGTTATCTTCATTCTGTTCAGTTCATTGAAACTTATTGATTGAATCAATGATTTCAACTGAGTTTTTATTGTTTTCTTTTTTAAAACAATTTTTGCTCTGTTTCATCAGCAATTTTTATCCACTTTTTAATGAACTACCAACATCAGTTGATAAATTTCTTTCCAATTATCACGTTTCACTCTAAAACCAATCACTATGAGCGATGCTCGATTCGACATGTATTGCATAAAAAAACTTTCATTACAGGTTTTCAATATTAAAACTCAAAAAATTGAACCATTGATAGTGAAACTGAGTGATGAAGAGGAGCAGGAGGTTTGTTAAAATTCATCATTGCTTAACGATATGTCGAAATTAACAATGAAATATTTGTTCGCAAAGAGAATGAAAAAAAAAAGAAATTGAAGGATATCTCTTAAAATGTTGCTGATTACTTAAAAAAAGCGTTATATCCTGAGATTTATGGGTCAATTCTCATTCGATTCAAGACAGCCGCAGCATTTTGTTATGAGGTCAATGGAAGTTTGGTATTGATAAGATAACAATTTTCGAAGGCATTATTGCTGTAAACTTTATGATATATTTTGCAGTTTGCAAACATGGTTGATCGAGTGCTAAGAGTTGTTGATTACGCGATCAGTAAAGGCGTTCGCATCATGATCGATGCCGAACAAACATACTTCCAACCGGCCATTTCACGTCTAACAATGGCTTTGATGCGAAAGTTCATTGTTGTGATTCTTTTCGCATTTTTAGAATAATCTATGGAAATGTCTGAAAACATTTTGCTTTCCAAGATGGAAATTTCTTCTCAATTGTTTTCTACAGATGAATTAGGATAGACTTTCTAAGTTATCAAGTAATCTACATGAAATTTTTGCGTGCTTCACGAAAAAATAAATAATCCTGAATGATTTTACTTAAAAACCTCGTGATATAGATTTGGGATTATATGCATCTTATTGCACGCCAATTTTGAAATGATGCAATATGAACACGACAGTAACGATTTAAGAACAAGATCCGATCTGGAAATCGCTAATTTTTATGTGTACAGTATTGGTGACAAAACATTTCAGACATAATAAAGAGAAAGGATGGGTATTCAACACGTATCAAGCTTACCTGAAGAACTGTTTACGCTATGTCGAGTTGGATATGCATATTGCAAGGCGTGGCAATTTTCATTTCGGCTGTAAACTTGTTCGAGGTGCTTACATGGAGCAAGAACGTCAGCGAGCGGCAACAATTGGTTATGAAGATCCAATAAATGAGAATCTTGAGGTGAGTATTTCTTAGGGAACACTTCAGATGATATTTTACGCAACAGTTATTCAAATCCATGACTCTTAATATAACCTGTTATCGATATGCATAATTGAAATGCTTAAGGCAACTGCAAATATGTACAATCGGGTCCTCGAGAGAATCATTGAGGAACGAGATTCTCGAGGTCCAGGTAAAGTGTCAGTAATGGTTGCATCTCATAACGAAGATTCCACAAGATTCGCCGTTCAGTTAATGAAAGATAAATGCATTGCGCCGTCTGAAAAAGTCATCTGTTTTGCTCAACTTCTTGGAATGTGTGATCAGGTCGGTGGATTAGATTGTTTTATTTGTCGAGTTCATTCGTAGAAAACAATTCATTACAGATTTCATTTTCACTCGGTCAAGCTGGCTATTCTGTTTACAAGTACGTTCCATACGGTCCCATTGATGGCGTTTTACCATATTTGTCTAGAAGAGCACAAGAGAATAGTGGATTGCTAACAGCAGCCAAAAAGGTTCGATTATTCCCGTTTCAAATCACTATTGTTAACGAAAGCATTAAGATAATATAGGATTTTCGGTTTGACTTTGCGTTGCACAATTAATAATAATAATGATAATAATAATGATAATAATGATAATAATAATAATAATAATAATAATAATAATAATAATAATAATAATAATAATAATAAT